CCATCGTAGCCGCTATCGTACGGAGGGGGGGGAGTTCATCGATCGGTGACAGTGGCAAGAATACCGAACACACGCAGGTTCGACCTTGCTCGCTGCACTCGGTTACCTCGCATTGGATCCTTATGACGAGTACACGCAACACGGAAATCATTTGTCAATCCAGCCATTGTAGCCAGCTGCCGTATAGCTAGTGGCAACAGTACTTGATTTGCGCATACGAGAAATGGGTACGACACATGAATCACACCAAACCAGTAGGAAATAACAAGAAGGATGAATCCGGTAGGAGGACCACTCTCTTGTGTGTTGTCGAGTACTAGCCTTGCTCTGTTCCCTTTCAATGACTCGACGACGATCCGTTCAGACTGTCGGTAGGGCTGGAGTTAACATCTCCTCCGTAGGGTAGCCTCTCCTCTTCTTGTTCTCCGGAGCGACCGATCGTTCGTTCGACACTCGACAACGGTATTTCTTCGGTTGTCAGGGCGTACTAGCAAAAAACAAAATAGATATGAGTTTTGTTTTCTGTGCTCAACTGCAGACGACCGGAGACTTACTCTTGTTTTTCAAATTGCACCAACTTGGCCTTCATGGGCCGAGAACTGACTGCCATCCCATGGTCCATAGGATTCAATGAGGGATGGCTTTCGAATCTACACCGGAGACAGCCGGCTTGAGTTAGGCTTGATAGTAGAGATAATAGAGGCGCGAGCGATCGATTCGAATAATTAAAACAACTCACCTGTTGACGGCCGAACTTGGAATTCTCTCCTGTTTACCATAGAAATTCAATGAGGGAGAGAAGTCAGCGCTGTACCTTCAACAATGGACTTGGCTGGACCTGCACGACTGTGCCTGTTGTCGGTGCAGAGGTGCGCATGCAATTGAATAACAGTAGTTTATCCTTAACCTTAGTAACTTCAACGGTTCTTTTATCCACGAATCGATCTAAATCTTTCGAAAGGGAACTTGTTACTTAACGATACACATGACCGTTGATTCTGCAACTGAAGTGCGGGTACACTAATTTACACAGTAAACGCGAGCCAATCGATTTGGGAGTGCAACTGAGGGGGTGTCGTAACCAAAAGGTGCGTCGTCTCATGGAGACGAAATCCTGCACCCTAATCGCGAAAGTTTGCAAGGTGGGACAGTGGGGGTCGGAAGGAAACCGCGACCACAACGCCACAAAGTCAAAGAACTCAAGGCACAACACACTTTCTGCTCTCTTCCCTTTATTTGGCGCCTGTAAAGCCTCCTTATCACTTGCCAAGAATAAAGGTACTGTACATTGGACCATGACATTGGATTCCCTGCAACAACAACAACCCCACCACGATCATGCTGTGAGCAATACTTCCAATACTAATAATGGCCTCCATACTACTGCTACCAATGACTGCCATCCTCCATTGGTCCAAGACGTGGACGCACCCCATCATGCTCACAACCACCACCATGGTCCCCCCAAGACGACGGCGTGGGATGCGTGGATTCAACTGACCAAGGCATATATAGGACCGGGTTGTCTGTCGTTGCCATGGGCCATGAGTCAATTGGGGCTACCCGTCGGGACCTTGACCATTTTTATTGTGGCTTGGTGGACATCCTACAATTGTTGGAATGTCGTGGTGTTGAAACGAACCATTATGAAGGAACAACGGGCAACAACCACAACCAGCAGCAGTAGAGAAGAAGAAGAACATACCACACAACAACACCAAGTGACGTATCCCGATGTGGGAGAATGGGCGTACAATGCCAAATTCAAGGAGATTCTATTAGTCTCCATTTGCGTGCAACAATTGGCCGTCTGTACCGTCTTTTTGAGTTTTATTGGAGAAAATATTGCCGCCGTCATGGAACGAACGCTTTCGGAGGAAGGAGAAAAGGGTCCCTCGCATGCCTTGGTCATTACCATGGCACTGCCGTTTGCCCTCCTGCTTAGCTTTCTACCCAATCTCAAAGTACTCAGTCCCGTCATGGTTGTGGCCTCCATTTCCCTCTTTGTGGGATTTGGATTACTGGGAGTCGTCGTGGCGGAAGAATGGGAGCATCGGCCTACCACTGATACAGATCATACCCATATCGAATGGTCCCAAGTACCCACGGCGGTCTGTGCCATTCTCTATTCCTACGAAGGAATTTGCGTTATCCTACCGGTCGAATCTGCCATGGCACAGCCGGATCGGTACTTTGGAACGGTATTTGTCACATCCATGACATTTACCGCCATGGTATTTGCCGCCGTGGCGTGTCTTTGTGTCGTGGCATTTGGAGATGTCACGGATGGATCCATTACGGCATTTTTGGTGGAAACACTACAGGATGATACCATGAAATGGTGGCTCTACATGGCCAATACGGCCTGCAGTGTCGCCGTCTTGTTGACGTATCCACTACAACTCTTTCCCAGTTTTGAATTGATGGGGCCGTGGATGACACGCGTCTTGCGATTGGATATTGGGACCCATCATTCCTATTTGCTACGACGAGGGAGACGAATGGTACGGAGCTTTTCGCCCATTCCATCTTGCAATCCCGATGATCGGGCCGTTGTGGGCAATCATGCGTATCATGATCATGATCCGGTAGTGCCGGTAGTCAGTAGTAACAACAACCATGAGACAACAACCAACAACAACAGTAATGACGAGGACTGTCTGAATGGAAACAATACTACGACAAATACTACCGTGACTGCCATGGAATTCAGTGACGAGGCGGCGGCCGACGAGGAGTACTATACCGACGACATGAATCCCTGTGCAGCGGCATATCCAACACCGGGAGATTCCCCACAACTACGCGCCATTTTGGTCATTTTCACATACATTTTGGCCATTGCCGTACCCAATGTCCAGCTCTTGGTATCCTTGGCAGGAGCATTGAGTGGATCGGCCACGGGACTCATTTTCCCGCCGTTGTTGGTGCTGGCCCATGTCAAACGACAAGAACGGTCGCTTCGTTCCAGCATCATTACGGCCACCGAACATGAGGAGGACGACGATGATGGGGAGGATACCGTGACGACGGGAGCCACCAGCATGCAACAGCAATCATCCAGCAACAACATGCCTTCTCTGGCATCGTTGCAATGGAAAAAGCTGGAATGTTACGTCTTGTTTGCTCTGGGGGTCCTCGTTTGCGTCTTTGGCACCTTTGCGGCGCTCGACGATATCGTCAGAGTATATCTGGGAGAGGGGGATACCGGTAGCTAAACATATTATCGATACGGTGCACCCGGTCGCCAATGGAGGTTGCGACTTCTCACAATCTAAGCTTAGCAACCGAGTTCTAGCTTGGCAACAGACTGTACTTGATAGCTAGCTATTGGCACCAACAGTTTCGCTTGACATGCAATTACTTCTTATTAAATGGTTTGATTTGAGTGCTATGCAATACTCCTACTGTTCTCGGGCTTCCTGGGTCCAAGGCTGGAATTCCTCCGCAGTTTCATACTCGTCTTCGCCATCCGATGTGTTTTCCTGTTGTGTGACCGGAACAAGAGAGTGACTCTTGAAAGCCGCGTGGACGTCGTCGCTATCCTCTTCGTGGCCAATGTCAATCGCATCCGTCATGAAGCATTCCGTCTTTTCCTCAGCATCGACCGTAGTCAAACTTTCCACTTGCTCTTTCTTGTCCTGCTCTTTCTTGTCCATGACTGACACAAACCCACTCAGTCCACGATCGCCGTCCTCCATAATCTTCCTTCCGGGCGAGAATTTCTTCGTTTTGGGAGGGTCATCAACACCAGTCGTAGTGGCGGGTTCGTCAGCGGTGTCAGTGGGCTCCACGTTATCGTCAGATGCCTTGTTGGAATCGTCAACTTCAGGAAGGGTCTCGGTTGCGTTCATAGGGGTACCTTCTTTCTCTTTAGCGGGTTCGTCAGCAGTGGCAGTGGGCTGCACGTTGTCGTCAGATGTCTTGTCGGACTCGTCAACTTCAGGAAGGGTCTCGGTTGCGTTAATTGGGGTACCTTTCTCTTTAGCGGGTTCGTCAGCGGTGGCAGTGGGCTGCACGTTGTCAACTTCAGCAACTTCAGGAAGGGTCTCGATTTCGCTGATCGGGGTACCTGTCTCCTGGGTTTCAACGGCCACTTCAGTTGACTTCTTCGGTTGGTTCAAACCTTCATCAACAACTTCGGTTTCCTCCTCCGTGGTCAGTTCGTTTGGCTTTGTCGCAACATCAGCAACTTGTTCTTCAACGGTGGCTGGTGTGTCTACCAGGTTGGCAGCTGCTTGACTGGTCTCGCTCGAGGGCTTGGACTTGCTATTGGTTTGACTGAGCACACCAGCAACTTGTTCTTCAACGGTGGCTGGTGTGTCTACCAGGTTGGCAGCTGCTTGACTGGTCTCGCCCAAAGGCTTGGACTTGCTATGGGTTTGACTGAGCACACCGGCAATGAGCACACCGGCAACTTGTTCTTCCGTGGTAGCTGGTGTGGTCTCCGAGTTGGCAGTCACTTCAGCCGTCTCGCTCAAAGGCTTAGGATTGCTCTTCGCGAGCACACCATCTTCTTCAGTAGAGTTTGCAGTCACTTCAGTCGTCTCGCTCAAGGTCTCAGGATTGCCCTTCTGCGTGAGCACACCATCTTCTTCTTCAGTGCTAGTAGTGCTAGCGGAAGGCTCCGAGTTGACAGCCACCTCTTTAGCTGGAAGCTGAGGACTGTCATTGGTGTCGTTGAACGCCTCGTCTTCATGCTGCTGAGCGGCTTCCAGAGATGCGTTTTCCTTCGGCTTGAGAGCAAGGAGGGTCTGCGCGGCAGTCGAATCATCGTCGTCAGGCTCCACGTTTCCTGCATCGGATGTCTTTGCGGATTCGGGGACATCTTGCGTTAGAAAAGGCTCGAAAGCATCATTCTGACCCTCCTCTGTAGGATGAGACAGGGGCTTTTCAGCTTCATCTTCGTTCACCTTTTGGTCAACCAGTGTGGCTGGTTCTTTGTCTTCGCTGCTGGATGTGAACGCTTCAGCTTTATCGGCATCAGGAGCGGAGGCTTCTTCCACGGAACCAGCAGCATCGCTCAAAGCGCTCCCAAGGTTCCGATGAGAAAACCCAGAAGGGTCTTCTTCAATGCATGGGAGAGCCTCGGGGGCAACCGCCGCAACAGCGCCTGGCGTTGCCTCGCCTACGTCCATAACACAGCTACCCCTGCTCTCTTCAGTGTTGTCTCTCGACTTTGAGTTGAACACAACTGGGGACTTGTCGGGGACTTCTTCTTCCTTGTCGCTTTCCTCGATGACAGGAACCCTGGAAAGCTTGGTTGCCTTCCCCGATGGGCGACCCTTGGATCTAAAGTGTGTCTCATTTCTCGAAGGAGACCCTCTGTTGGCCAACCACTCTGTCAGTTTGTCCGCAATCCTATCTGCAGCATTTCTATGGAGGATAAGGGTCACGTTACCTTTCAAGAATGGCTTGACCTCATCATCACGCTCGCCGAGAGATTCATAAATGGTTTGGACAAAGTTATCAATCGTGGTGTCATCTTGTGAGCATTGGATCTCGGTTACAATCTGACGGCGCACCATGAGGGCAATCTCGATGTGTTCCGCGGTCATTGCTGGTGGCGTGTATCTTTTGCTTTCCCTCCGACGATGATCGAGCTCGATTATCTCGCGAAGTTTCTGGTCTGTGGGTTGATGCCACCAAACTGGGAAGGACACCGGTTGACCACGGCGACTACTAGCATCCTTCTTCTGCTTCCTGGATGCAGGTGGAGATGGCTTTTGTTGCCGAACCGATGCAGCTCCTGTGCCCTTCTTCTGCTTCTTGGATGCAACTGAAGATGGCTTCTGGCGCCGAACCGGTGCAACTTCTTCTGGAGCCAGCTCAAACATGTCATCGCCAACGCTGAGTTCGCACTTGGCTTTATACTCGATCAGTGGTGCATCGTCGCCCGATCCCCACAGGCGCAGAGCAAGGAATGCGTGTGTGCCCATCTTGGACTCGATCTCCTTGTCTTCTGTCCAATCATCCAACGACAGCTTGCGGGATTCTCGAATGTACTTGCGCACTGCTGGAAGATCCTTCAAGAGGTATTGGCGTCGAATCTCCCTTTCGCGACCCAGAGCATCGATCCCATGGGGGAAGTAACCACTTCCAAAGCCATCACGTGAGAAGCCAGCCTGCCTGAGGAGGTTCTGCGCCGCGTGTTCAATGCCCCGACCAACAAAGGACTTTTGGAAAGTAGGCAATGCTTGCTGAACAGCATCAGCAAAGCTGTAGTCCGAAGTGGGGAAGAAGACTGAGTAGGCCCAACGGCGCACTTTCTCCTTTTCCATAGGAGTGAGGGCCTTTTCAGGCTTCCTCGCGTCAGCAGGGGAAAGTATGGGGACACCATGTGTGCACAAGCGCTGCCTCAAACTCTCTTGGTTGGGCAAAATCGGTGTTTCTTCTGTCATATTTGACTCGTCACTGTCAATGGCACGGGACTTTCTGGCAGACTTGACTTCCCTTTTCTCTTGCGCTGGCATGATGAAATTGCTCTCCGCATCTTGATAGATTCCAAGCTTACCGAGGAGTGGCCTGATTTCGTTCCACGTGGGGGGAGCGAGTTCACGCCACCATGGTCCAGACTTTGCTTTTTTCCTCCTTGAGCCCTTGCCTGTTGCCTTGCGCTTGCCTGTTGCCTTTTCGCTCTTTCGTACTGGCGTCTCGTAACTTTGGATGCTGTGTTGGCTGGAGTCACTGTGGTCCGATTCGCTGCCAGAAGAAGCGTCATCCTCAGAACCGCTGCTACCGCTCACGTCAGAAGAACTGGTCGCGTCTGAATCGCTTCTGTCTGATGTGCTTGCATCGGGTGAGCTCTTCTCTTCTTCGGAAGCACTTGCGGCGCGAATCGAATCGTCTTCACTGTCATCGTCGTTCTGAGCAACATCGGAAGCCTCAATAGAGCCCTCTTCGTCATCAGACTCAAAGTCATTACCAGCTTGAGGAAGAATTCTCTCCATGTGCGAGATCTCTGCCAAGGACGTCTCGAACGTCTTGAGAGGAGACGGAGAGCTAGCAGCCCACAACCTCAACAGCGCCTTCTCCTCTGGATAGCCCTTAACTTCAAGATCTGAGATTTCAAATTCATCTTTGGTCCAAGGAAACGAGGCGGTACGGCGAATGTAGTCACGGATGCGAGGGGAGCCGTTGAAGATATGAACACCCTCGACACGGTCTTCAAAGGTCACACCGGCAAGATTATTATTGGGCGGGTAGAAATGATCACCGCACTTTTCAAAATGGAACTTTGAAAGCAAGAGCTGCAATTTGTTCTCAGTAGGCAGAGTGATACTCTTCAAGCTACCAGGAAGATCATCGATCGGAACATAGGCGAAGCTCACCCAACGGTGGAGTAGTTCCTGTTCCTGCTTCTCCAGAATGTCATGGCCGCCAACATAAGGCACTCCTTTCGTACAAAGGAACTTGCGAAGCGTCTCAGAGTTAGCGAGTTCCCAACAACTCAAGGAATCTCTGATCCCTGCAACAGCCTCAGGAAGTTGGAATTTCCCACCTTCGCTTCGGCGGATCCCCAACTTGAATAGGATCGGCTTGACTTGTGCCAGAGTGGGAACGGGAAACTTGCGCCACCAAAGATGTTCCTTGCCTCCGGAGGCTCCAAGCAGTGCTCGATCGTTGTACTTGTGTTCTTTTGCCCGACGGTTGGGGCGGGCATTTGGTTGGTGTTGCTCGGCGGGTGCCGGCTTAGAGCAGCCAGAATCGGTGGTGACCACGGTGCCCGAAGACGACATCCCTTGGTTGTTGTTGTTCGCAGAGCGGCGGGCGGAAGGCTGGGCATTGCCGCCTTCAATCCATGCGGGAGGTCTCCAGTGGGGAATCTTGCTCTGGATGTATGCTTGGACAGCAGCCTCGCTGGTAAAGAAATCCACACCTTCCTCGCCATTGACCGAACGACCAGGTTTGAGCCAACGGTCTTGTCCATCAACAACTCGTTTGAGCCAACCAACATATCGGCACTTCTTCCATATTTCACTCCAGGGTGTATGAGGCTTCACTTCCTTCTGGAGATTTTTATTTGCAAACGGAGGAGTCGGGGGGGTCATTGTTTCTGTCGTTTTGACCCGTGCTGGAGATCCGGCAGTGACTGGGACCGCTGCCACTGCTACTACCTCTTGCTCCGTCGACTCTTCGGTTGCAGTTTCCTCCGTCGAAACTTCTTGCAGCATTTCTTCTTCTTGGGAAGCGGTTGCTTTGTTGGAGGTTTCTTCTGGGGCATCTTCAGTGGCAGTCTCCTGCGGTTCGTTGGTCACAGCCTGCTGGGTCTCTTGGGTTGCTGATGCTGCTGGTGGTTGATGGGCCAGCGGTGGTTGCGCAATGGCAGTCACAGAGTTTGTGGCGGGGGCCGACTCTTGAAAGGTCACCTTGGCTGCAGAATCGGGCTTGTCGTTATCGTCGTTGTTGCTTCCGCCTCCACCTCCACCATTATTATTATCGAGCCGTGCCTTTTTAAAAAGGTTCCTCCTCTTTGAGCTAGTAAATCGTCGCTTCTTCTTGAGTTGCACTTGTGCCAGAATGGTTTTGGCTTCGGCAAAGGCTGCTTGGTAGCACTCGAAAAGTTCCTGTTCACACTCGACAGCCTTGTCAAAATAGTCTTCCTTTTTCGATTCATGGACAAAGCAGGTGTTGACGTTGCGACTAAAGCTGATGACAACGTCGTTATCTTTATCCTCCACATCCATATCTCCGAGGCCATAGTATCCGCCGTCGGGAAAGCCCAACAAACGACAGACAGGACCCGGGTCATCATCAGAGCCGTTCTCGCGCATTTCCAGGATGGGAAGCATCATGGATTCCACAAAATCTTCATTAGCAGAGAGACTATTGGCTTCTTTATGGCTACTGTAGAAGAGTGCGGGCCAGTAGAGGGACTTGTTAATGGCCACTTCATAGTCGCGAGGGAACTTGACGAAGCGAAGGCGCTGACCGATTGAGGTATCTTCCACCGCACCAGCGCGAGTGACACTGGTAGACGACGCCGCCATGATGGATATCAGAGTTGGAAGCAGGGATGAATGGCAGTAGTCTAGCTAGTAAAAGATAGCAAGTCTATCAACCGCCAACAAGAAAAAAGTAAGTGGTCTGTTTCCAGGAATTTGTGATCCTTCGTGCTTCCAAGGAAATGGCGCGTTCTTTGAGAGCCCGTCGGGCAGATCGTCCTTAAAAAGCTCACGCAAGCCAAATTTTGAAAATTGAAACATTTCATCTAAGTCCTCGATTCTGCTTTGGTACTGTGAAGCTTTATGAATCGTTTGCGACGGAACATGTTGGGTGGTTAGATCTTCGACCCATTGGACTAACCCTTATTTCCACGTGGAAGCAACTCTTGAGGACGATATCGATACTACATGTACTAGCTAGTAGAGTAAACCAGGTATCGCCTCAACTGACACCCTTCATTCATCAAAACAAAGAGGTCGACCATGAGATTATCTACCGGTAATTGCCGCCATCCACCATGGGCATTTGTCCTGGTATTATCCCTGTTATCTCTATTGCTATCAAGATGCCATGCCAACGGAGCCGACATTCCTCTGTTTGCAGGCAAGGCGACGATGCAAGAACGCGTGGATGTGGCCATGGAACTGGCCGCGCTGGAACAAGGTGTGGATGATGTCAATGCCCAGTGGATCGCATCGGCATCCTCCTTTGGAGAAGCCGTTTCGTACCGACGCCTCATTGCCATGCCCTTGACAGAAGTCTTTGATCCTCCCATGGGACAGTTCTCTCGGGGGCACACTCAAACGGGCGACAAAATGAGTCTTCCAAAGGTGTTTTTTGATGCCATTCAACAAAACAAGGCGGAAGTCCCCTGGTTGTTTGAGGTTCGACGCATTGAAGGAGTGACGAGCCCCCGAGTGGAATTGCCAGATAGTAGTAGTAGTAGTGATGAAGAACCAAAAAAGGACAAGAAGAAAAAGAAGAAAGCCTCTCGTCCCGATGAATGGGGAGCTGCTCGGCCACTAGAGCACTTGGATTCCATTGTGGGAGGACCATTGGATTTTCGTGCTCCTCCAAATTACATCTTTCTACCCTGGTGGATGATGCGATCCTTGGGATTGCGACCCCGTGATGTGGTCGATGTACGACAAATCACCAATGTTGCGGCTGGTAGCATGGTCAAGTTCCGGCCCTTGACTGAACAAACCATGAAAGACATGGCCAATCCGCAAGCTGTTCTAGAGACGGAGCTAAAGCACTATTCCTCCCTTACAAAGGGCTCTACCATTGCTTTTGATTACAACAAGAAACGATATTGGTTCGAGGTCGCTGAGTGTCGAAGTGCTCCACGTGGGGAGAAGAAACCTATGATTAAGGTACAAGATTGTGATGTGGCTAGTGACTTCTTGGTTGCTAGGGATACTCTGGAAGCTAGAAAGAAGAAGAAGAAAGCCGAGCAGGAACAGTAGATGGGATACTAGTGCATACTTTGTTGAGGTGTACGAATAATGAATGCTCGGAGACTCTCCTCTCGTCAGCGACATTGGAAGGGTTCGTTTTTCCAGTGCAATCCTCGAACGCCTTATGGGCGAAAAGCATTGGACCAACCTTATTCACACATGGCAATGGAAAGGTTCAGTAGCGGACTCGTAGCTCGAAGTTCCAAATGGCTAGCGAGCTAGTATGGTACGGTATTAATTAACATTCAGTCTAGTCTCGAGCCGCCGCAATCTGGGACATGAAATAGTTCGTTGGCACGGAAATGAGGCTGTTCCACTCTCTGTCACATAACTTTTCCGGGGGTCCCAGCATATTGATTTCCTGGACGTGGCGAACAGTCCGTCCTTATTCGAAACGGCAGGGCCTTCCCGATACTCGCACGTCCATGAAAGTAACTGCTCCGAGTGGCTAGATGTTTCAATATCCCGTGCAGCCAGCCACCGGTACCAGGCACGGGTGGATGGCCTGAACTACGTACCGGTAACCGAACCTCTACCGCGAGGGCATCCAGGGACAACGATGACTTGATCATTAGTACCGTTCACCGTACCGGTATCTGCCAGTGACATCCATTGTGTTGTCTCCCACCCTGACCAGTACCTGGTACCTTGGTTGATACCAGTAACCATCTGGCCAGACAGTAGATACCGCCAGCCTTTACTTAGATAGATACCGGTATCGGTTGCGGTATGGTGTGCGCTGGTGGGTTTGAAATCGCGACGGCCCAAAAACGCAAGGTATCGATACCGCCAACCGGAACTCACCTCCCGGCGGCCGGTACTGGCTGGCTCATGACTCCATCGAGTCATCAGTGCCAGCAAGGGGCATTTATGACTTACTTGCTCTCGCATCAGAGGAGTTTCTTTGGGGTTCTCTCGGCTTTGATACTTTTACGGTACGCACAGTTGGCCTTATTACCACGGTGTAGATGTAGTGGTTGTAAAAACATGGCTACATCCACTGACATGTATGAGTCGGCCGTGCCTTTGCTTTGAATAGGCCCTCGGTGGAAATGGTTCATCCGCCGGCCTATTGAAATTGGCCTTGGCGATTCTTGTCTTTTATGTCCCTGTGTTGCAGTCAGTAGTCTGATGCTTGCCTTGTGAGTTCCTGCGACTCAAAGTGTGAAGGTTCCTACAACGCCATTGCTTAACATTCGAGGATACCTTTTTTGCGGTGTTAAGCAGTTGATTCTACCTGAAATCGTCACAATCTCATCGTCACATCGTCACTCGATGGGCTGGGTAGCTGCTGGGAGCTCCGCTGGGTTGGAAGTTGGAAAGCTGTTGAAATAATGTATGTGGAACGATTGAATGGTTCAGCCTCTTTACAGTCTTTACCTGGGGCGAAATGAGCTAATAATACGGGAGGGTGGAAGACTGGAAGACCAAGCGTCCAAGCATAGTCCAACGTCCAGGTTTAGATCCATCTAAATGAGTGGTTGTTTGAGGGGAGAGACTCTATCTCTCGAAGGGAAGAACTGGATAAAAATTGCATTCTCCCCAGTCTGTTCTGTAGTCAATGAGTCACGCACATCTCTTTTCTTTCTTCGGATTTGGAACATTTGTAGTACAATATCATTGACAGTGACGTCCAGCGTACCACTTGAGACGCTACGCCCTATAGTCTCAGTTTCGCCTTCAGGTGAAGTGATCGTTCACCTTTTTGCTGACTCTTTGATACTCTGTCTAGCACTCCGAGTAGTCTCTCTAGGTGACTTATAACAAATGAAGACGTTAAAACATAGCCCAGCGACTTGAAATGGTACGTATTTGACAATCCACCACCAAGTAACAAAACTGATAAACCATTTACCTCTTTCTCGAAACAGACTGGTTACGCATACTTCTGGCTCTCCGAACATCGCCGAATGGGGCCTAGTATTCCCAGCTGTACTCACTTAGTCCCAGCGTCCCATCATTGTGGTTGAAGGTGACTTCGGTGTCACGTAAATTTCTAAGGCTACGCCTGTCCCGATATTTGCTTTGCCCCTTCGAGTTGTGGCATTTTAAAGTGGCATTTTCAGGTTATTGTGACATTGTGACCTCCTCGTGTTTTATCCCGGCAAGGGATTAGCCGCGAATGGCGACATTCGGTACAGCATGCAGTACCGAAGGTCGCCAACGCAGTGGAAAGTTGCAAGGTTTCCGAAGTGATGTTGAGATGCCCACAAAACTTGAAAGCCTGCAAAAATAGATGCCACCCAAAGTCTACGGCAGCGGAAGAGGTTTTAGTGGTTGGCTGAATGAACCTGGTCTAAAACTATCGACTATCATCTATCGAGCACTCAAAGACATCACTTCACCTCAACGGTAGCCTCACAACACAACAAAGCAAACATCTCAAACGCATTATTCCAAAACAATCCCAGTGGTAACTCTACCAAAGAAGAAGCAAAATCCATGAGCTACCCCCATTCTCACCATCTCCCAATGAACATCACTGTGGTAGCGAACGACACTATGATTGTTCCGGAATGTACCAATTCTTTGGTACAGATAGAAATGATAGCACGGCTGAACAACATGGGATGTGCCTGCTTGGAAGGAGAATGCTCGGATCTGCCCCAAGCTGGCAGCTACTTCCGAAGAGCTCTCGACAAAGCCAACGAGTTGATGTTGTTCTGTGAACCTGGAAATCCGTTATCCATGGCAACAAGAGCATTTCATCAGTTCTCGGATCAATCCTGCAAGAGTCTCTACGTATACCAACGAGGCGAGTATGACGAAGGCATGCATGGGTATTCGGAACCTGTCACTCTGATTTCCGACATTGTCAGCACCAAGAATGCTGCCGCCACCATCAAGTTTAATTTGGGTCAACTCTATCTTCGCCTGAACAGAGACGACGAGGCACTCAAGTCCTTCATTGGCTGTTTGCAAGTTGGTCAGTGGGCAAGTGAGTGTCTGGGGAAATGCTCCACTTCCGGAGGCGTCAGCTTGATTGCCGTGTTGCACAACATTGGCCATGTCCAGTATCGCAGCGGGCATTACAAGGATGCTATTAAAACCTACACCAATGCGTTGGACATTCTCAGAAGCACTCATGCCCAGGACCAAAACAAGGTCACTTTATGGGCACTTTCTGGAACTCTCAATTGCATTGGGGTGTGCAACTTTCATCTACCCAAAGCAAACACTGAAAAGGCTCTCGCATATTACCGAGAATCGTTAGCCTTGCGTCGGGCTGTGCTGGGAGAGAATGCTGTCACCAAGGAGATTGCCACGTCCATCAACAACATTGGCAGAGTGCATTACCTTCGCGGAGAGCATGACAAAGCATTGGAGTACTATAGTGAGGCACTCACTATGCGAAGGAGCCTGTTTGGCAACAACCATCTGGATGTTGCCGCTACAAGTAAGTTTCCAGAAACGGTATCTTGTCTCATCTTTCTTTCCACGGTCCAGAAGCTGACATACTCCTCTTCTTCTCTACAACACAGTCTACAATGCTGGTCAAACACTGCATCACCGAAGAAAGCTAGACGAAGCCATGACTCTGTATGAGGAGTTTCTAGTCATTGCTAAGAATCGGTTAGGATACAACCATCGTGACGTAGCTGCAATGCTCAAATGCATGGCCCAGATCAAACATGAATGCCGACAAGTTGAAGATGCAGCAAAGCTATACAGGGAAGCTATTGAAGTTGGCCGTGCCGCTTTGGGAGAGCATCATCCAGAAATCGCCTCCACACTCAACAAACTTGGCAATCTGCTATACGAGAGCAACGACTTGGAACAAGCCGTGAAGGTATACCAAGAGGGCCTTCAGGTGGAGCGCATGGTCTTGGAACACGACCATCCCAACATTGTTGTTACCATCACAAACATTGCCCAGATTTACAAGCTTCAGGAGAAGTACGATCTTGCCCTCAACTTGTATCGTGAGGCAGTTGCCATCCAAAGACGTAGCTTGGATAGCTCGCATCCAAACATCTCCAGCACACTCTCTTCCATGGCACTTATCTACTACCGAACACGTCGCTTTACGAAAGCCCTGGAGGTCTACCAGGAGGTTCTTCGCATTCGCCGAGATGCGTATGGCGATGTCCACGTGGAAGTTGCGGCTACACTCAATTCACTTGGTTTGGTCCTGTTCAAGATGGACCTTCACGACTTCGCCCTTCAAAGCTTCCATGAGAGTTTGCGTATTCGCCGTCAATTACTCGGGCCCAACCATAGAGACGTCGCGGTGGTGTTGTACAATTTGGCGACTTGCCATTTGGAGTGCGGTGACGACGACAATGCCATGCACTACTATCGTGAGACCCTCAAAGTGGAAAAGGCGGCTCTTGGTGGCACACACCCAGACGTTGTCTTGACTCTACTGCATTGTGGTCAAGTCCACCAGGGACGCGGCGAGTTGGGTGCTGCTTTGGAGTTCTACGATGAGGCGTTGGAGGCACACGCCAAGGGAGGCTCTGACGATAAGAGCGGCCACGCTACTCTGGCAAGAATATTTAACCACAGAGGAAACGTCTTTTTGCAACGAGGACAGGCCAAAGAGTTGGTGGAAGCAATGACATTGTCATTGCGCCACCTTCGCTTGGCGGGTAAGAAGGAGAATGAACTGGTTGTGTCCGGGTTCAACTTTTACGCCCTGGCAAAGAAGCACCCAGAATGTCCCGCAGCCGCATAGAATGGCGAAGCCAACCCAGCCCTAGCGCGCTTATCACTTGCTACCGAAACAACATTTTGTAGAAATAAAAGAAAGTAATTGAAAATAGAGAAGAGTACAGTTGAACTTGATCAGATTCTGGCCTAATTAGCTAGCTAAAAGTTACTGGCTAGCAGCAAATCCAGACAATTGAGTTTCACTCCTCCATTGCGGCTTGATATGCTGGTCGTGTCGCAATTTCTTTGTCATGGAATGATTGTAACACTGGGAACGCAGCTAGTCGCTCAGGAAACTTCCGAGCACATGCTGCAATGGTAAAGCCAAATATGACATCTGAAGCCGAAAAGAAGGGAGGCCTGCTCTTGACGAAATCCTCCAGTGTTGGGGCAACCAATTGATGCCAAGCCTTTTCGTTGGCAGCAAGCACATTTTCCTGGTATCCAGGTCTGGGGTCGTCTAGAACTCTTTGAATCGGTGAAGACGTTGCAAGCACATTATCAGCAGTGCCACACGCGTAGTGCGCGATCATGTCATGGCGGGCCATGGAGTTGGCATCCCGTCGAAGCAACTTTTCTTCGGTGTCGAAGCGGCGACAGAAATAATTGCAGATTGCAGCGCTTTCAAACAGGACCAAGCCATCGTCGGACTGGAATGTTGGGACCTTTCCCTGTCTGTTGACTTTTAAAAGGCTTTCGGGCTTCTCGGTCCTTAGAGTAGTTTCATCCAAAGAAATCAAATTCAGCTCTGGTAACTCGCCAGGATAAAGCAGCTCCAGTTCTCGAAAGAGCCAAAGGCACCTTGTCGAACGAAACCTTGAACAATGCCACAATGAGTTCTTCATCCTTGCAGCTTCTCTCTACATGTCACGTCCAACAGCTACATGTATGTAGAATGAATATGGGCATAAGAAGGGGTGACAGTCAAGAAGGATGGATCTTGAGGAGCAACAATCAACTTGCAAGATCTGAGAGGAGCCAAAGATCACCCCCAAAGAACAACAAACCCGCTTCGAATCTTAATGCGGTAGTTGGGGTAATAATTGGGGTAGAAAATGTTCTCTATTGAAAAATATTGTTAAAATAGTACCAAGTCTACCCGAACCCAAAAGCTACCGAGCCAGACCGGCAGGCAATACTGTTCGACTTTCAATGCGGACCACCACTCACTCCATGGGGCCATGTACAAAAAACCCGCCAACAGAAGAGAAGAAGCATGCTTAAACCTTCAAAAGCAATGCTTGGCCTCTAGAAAGAGCAAAAGAAAGCAAATGCGTTTGGGTAAAATGTTCGACACAGTCGCAATAGAGGCGAGAATAGGTGGAAAGGAAATTCGAGTACGGTAGCACGCAAAAGTCACCACGTTTCTACCTAGCACTGAATCCTCACGAATGGTGCTTATCTCATAGAAAAGTGAATTGAGCTGAAAGCCTACCGTTCATTGGGCCTCGTCGGCGAATTTTCACATAGAGACTCGTGGTATCTCATGAGATGAACCAAGGCGGCTCCTGGAAGTCCAAGCTTGTTGTGGTTATCAATCAGGGTCTTTACGGCATCGGAATGAGCAGAGATTTGAGACCTAGTAGTATCCTCATCTTCCCATTCATCGTCGTCTTCAGCTTCTACACCAGTATCCTCTACGGTTTCTGTGTCATCCGCGTCGTTGTCGTCAACATCCGCAGCATTTTCACTCCCCCAATCATCCTCAGACTCGCATTCGGCCTCATTCTCCTCACAAGATTCCTTTCCCTCTTGATCATTGACTGGTTCCTCATGGCGATTCATTTCATCTCGTTGATGTCGTTTTAGCGTCCCGCTAAGCCAACCATTGGAAGCACCGAATTCGCCTTCCGGAATGCCCAACTCCTTGGAAAACTCCAATGCCTTTTGTCGTAAGTGCTTGTAGGATATGCTGCCACACTTTCCTGCACCGTTAGTGTAGCTGGAAGTGAGATACCCAATGAGCATTTTTTCTACTTCTGCAAACTTCCTGTTCGTTCGCCGTCTAGTATCTGCTTGTGGCGTGAGCGTTCCATTGTCATATTCTTTGAGCTTTCTGCCAAAGTTGGCAGCTTCAGACTTTGAGCCACTGAAAATGGTTCCACTGGAAGAAGACTTTAGGTACGACGATTTTGCCATCTTGGGAAACTTTGTCCTGTAAGTATGGCAAGCATTGTACCAGTCAGTAACAGTTATGCTGGTGTTCCTCTTGGAGCCTTTCTTTGGGCCAGGTTTGCAATAAGAAGCAGGTCCCTTGGCGGCAGGAGGTGGCTTGTAGGCCACAACATTTCCATCTTTGCCAAACTGACGCCGCTTGACATTTCCCTGAGGATTCAGTTTTCCAATTTCGTATTGCTGGAGCTTCCTGATAAAGTTGGAATGTTCAGACTTGGAGCCACTAAACAAGGGGCCGCTGGAATCTGACCTCAGGAAGGCCAACTTTGCCATCTTGGGAAATTTTGTGGTGTAAGTGTGGCAGGCATTGTACCAGTCGGCAACAGTTCTATTGGTCTCCCTCTTGGAACCCAATTTAGGACCCGGTTTCGAGTGGGAAGCCTTTCGCTTTGATGTTGGAGGTGACTTGGCAGCGGCGGTGGCAGCAGCAACGCCGGTACCAGCGGCATTTATGTTGTCATGCCTTTCCGGATCCATGCTCTGAGGGTTCTACTGTACGACGGCTGGACTTGCCAAAGTAGACTACTACTGTAGTATTCGATTGTTTGAGAGTTGGTGTGTTGATGTGATGCCGTGATGCTGTGTTTGTGTCTTGTGTGTGTTGCTCTGTTGGTCTTGCTCCAGTGCTGTGGAGAGAGCATTAACGACCCCATATTTCCTTTAAACCTTGGAATGGTGATTGAAATCTAACAAATAGTAAACTCGGCCAAATGAATAAATAGGCCAAATTAATCGAAATATTCGAATCGAGTCGAACGTTTGAGCCGAATCAATCGAATCGATGATTCATTCAATCGTGAATGATGAGCTGCGGACATTCTCCGCCGCAGCTCTCGATCCTCAACAAACAGCATCATCATCGTCGAAAAGCGGACGATTGGACAACCGCCACAATAAAAACCCAGCGTCTAGACAGAGTAGCTATCATCAAGACTACTCTGAGAGGCGCAGGAAGTGTGTTGTTGGGTGTTAAAGGATCCAGAGTCGGTACTCATCAGTGGCCCAGTCTCGTCTCGTCACCTGTCGTTTTCCATCTGGCAGAATCTGTCATCCCAATTTGGAGGTGGAAAATTGGGATGTCACCATGATGAGCTCACTTTTTTGTTCAACCGGATTGCTAGAGTTGCATACCCAACCGAACAAGGAAGACTTTCGCGATTGTTGATAAGCTTCGGCCAGATCAACCCCCCAGACCTTATTCAAGTCTACTTTCAACTTTTCTACCAATCTTCTATTCAGTACCTATCAATTGCAAAATGAAGTTCTCTTCTTCTATCCTCAAGCTGCTCTCGTGGTCCTGGACCACCGACAAGAACAGCAGCAACATCAAGAAGACCCCCGTTCTCCAGGTCGCCAAGGAGATGACGGGCAACAACAACAAGGACGTTCCTGTGGCAGAGGAAGTCCCAACATTCCAACTGGACGAGCTGGACAAGTCGGCCGTCCAAACCGCGGCACTGTTGCACGGAGAGCATCCTGATGTGGAATTCCAGCAGCATGGTCGCTACCTAGGTGCCTATGACCTTTCCCTGGTTACTGCGGATCAGCATGGTCACTACGGATACGACAAATACAACCAGCACCGGCCCAAAGGCTGTCGCATCCAACCCAGTCAATCAGCCAACACTCGCTGGAAGACCCATTACGGTCAAGACACAGAACGGAGCAATGGAAACCGTTTATCCTTTGCTCCCGTCAACACTGTAGTGGGGTACTCTTCTGACGAGAGCGAACAAGCTGAGAACCGTCGTGTCTATAGAGACATGAAGAAACATGTGCCACAGGCCCGACACGAATTCTGGCTCGAAGCCCAACAACAATTCATTTCCTTCGGCACACCCACACCCCACGAACGCGTCTTGGATCTCGTGCAGTTGATTCAAGAGTACGGATACCAACAAGTGGCCAAATGGATCACCAACAACCAATGGTTCCAAAGCGACAAAGCATACCTAAAACAAGCCAAACTGCACATTCAAATTGATGCCTTGCATCAAGACCTCGAGGCACTTGTCAAATTCATCCAGGCGAAGAAAGGAAATGACAAGCAAGTTTCCCACTGGTTCATGGTCAACGAAAAGAACACTTACATGTTCGAACTCGCCATGTGCCACTTGCACCACGGAGGAATTCAGCGCAATGCCGACGATGAAATTTGCACCTTGAATACGCGAGAAGAGATCGCCAATCGACGATTTGTCTATCGCAAGGTCAAGGATGTCTGCATGGAAGATGCAGCAGATTTAGTAGTAGAACAACAACCAACAACAACTAAAGACATCGAGACAATAGAAAAAGTCTCAACCGTCGACGACAAGATGGCATCCGATGCCACAATCACATGCGAAGCAGCTGTGGTTCCAACATGCACAGCAGTGGTACCATACATTCAAAAGTGGCATGTGAAACGCTTCAATATCAGTGTGCATGGACAAAAACCATTTGTATTGGAGATGCGAATGATGAGTGGTGTGCTACTTGGAGTGGTACCCAACAACATTCTCGCAGCATTGATGAAGGATGGTGGAGACCTTGTCAAGGAATTGATGCGGCGGCACAAGACACTACAATTGGACGCAGGCGTTGCCTCGGACGATACCGATTATGAATTCGTGACTGGCCAAGTGGTAGCTGAAGAACCCCTGGACGGGGTTGAGGAACAACAACGAGTTGATGCTGAAGAACCACTGGTCGACAACCGAGTCGATGAGGAGGACAACGTGGGCACAGCACAATCAACACTTCGGCGGTCAAAGAGACGCATGGCGGCGATTGCATCGCAGAGAATTGCAGAACAAATCAAGACAAAGCCCCAGCGATTGGCAGACCAACCTAGAATTAATCGTAGATGCGCGGCGGCCAGGAAGTCAGCAAAGCCAAATACGAAGGGCAAGAAAAAGTCGACAAAGCCAAAGGCGAAGTGCAAGACGACGACACGACCTGTGGCGGACACACAGCAGCAAACAACGGTTCAGACAACAACAACTCGTTCTGGACGGCGAGTACGAAAGCCTGACCGGTACATTCCAGTCTAGGACAACAGGTAAGTGGGGCGGCCACCACGGATTGCGGGGACTACTAACACATTAATACAATACACAATGAGCAAGCATCTGGTGGGATGCAGGGCTATACAACAATTTTGCGGAGATGAATACAGTTGGTTCAAATGAAGGGTCACATACAAGGTAGCCAGGTTTGTGGTTCCTGTGCTAGGCGGCCTCTATTGCAGAGTGCTTGTCCGAACGTCCTCCATGTGACGAAAGTCCAAAGTTAATACCTGTGACACCTGACAACCAACCTCTATCATTGTTGATGCTATGCTTTATACCTCAAATACAACCTTGCATAAAAAAAAATAACACATAGTAGAGAAATCTTTACAAGAACAAAAAATTAGATCTTGCTTCAGTATAGTAGTTCTAGCTCTAGAGTTCATAATCATCGTAGCAAGGCGTGTGTCCTACAGTAGCTTGGGTCTCGACTCGAGTCTGTCAAGCTCCACCACCTATGTTGGGATGAAAGGGAGGCAGCTATCGCACTACGCATCCGAAACCACAAACGAAGAGCTGACATGGGGCCGTTCGCGGTGGCGGAGGGCTTGTCGTCGTCCATCGAAAGGCCGAGCCTCGATTGTTCCGGCTGTTTGTAGAGGGTCGAGCCTCCCGGTCATGTCGCTAGCAGCCGCACCACCGTACGGAGCCATCGAAAAGCTCATTGTGTTTTCATTGGGCTGTTATTATTTTACAGACAACTATTCTTACTTCGATGGAGATACGCTGCGTGCATTCTCAAATTCGCTTCCATTGAGGGGGTTCCCTTCATTGATAAGCTAGCTGGCTGGAAGTGCTCGAGCCCGCCATGTCCTCCAGCTGCTCTCTTCGAGCCACTCCCTCTTGCCAACATGGACTCTTCGTGGTCTACGGGCATCTAGAACACAACGAAGGCCTTGTGTAGATAGGCTTCAACCTGTTTCGACTGAGCGTAGCCTCGTTGTGAAAACCACCTGGAGACGTCGGATTGATCCTCAACACGACAAAACCTCAGATGAAACGCAACCAGGGGAGAACAGGTTTGTATCATGTAATCCTCCATGTGACGAAGAAATCCAGGCACCATTGCCGAGTCACATATGCATGGCATGGTCTCAAACATTTCCATCGTGGGCCCTGCCAAGTCCAACCCTTGGCATGCGTAGGACCACAGAGCTTTCGCAATCACAGTTTGGTCCTTTTGCAGAACAAACATAGTCCAGAGCCTTTCCTTCGCGGAAGTACTTCCCGCCACGCCAGTTGTCCGCTTGATGACGAGGCCATTGCTTTCTCCCAGACTAATTTCGGTTCCTTCCTTTGTTGGTTGTTTCTTCAATGGATGAAACACTGTAACCTTGCTTCCGTGGGGAATTGAGACTAGGATGAACCGCTTCGAAAGGATCAACCGCAAGAGATCAATTACTTGTGCATGTTCCGGCAAATATGAACGACAGCAGATCTTCAACCACGGTTGCTTGTAAGTCATAAAGCCAAGGTAAGCAAAGAGTTCGTCGTGTTCAGGTTCAAATATGGCTATCTTGGTTGTGGCAGTCATGTCGTTCAAAAGAAACCCCAGAATTCCCGGCACTCGATGATACTGGTTGTCCTGCCTTTTGCTCTTTTTTCCATTCATCTTTGCCTGATGACGAAGCGTGGTCATGTTTGTGGAGAATCCATGCTTGTGCAACAGCGACACGGCTTCGTGCACCATGTAGGCGAATCGATCTCGATCGGATGCGCCGTAGTATTCTTTCGGGGGTCCCATCAATGTGACAGTTCCAATCTCTTTTGCTTCCATCAACGCATAGGCTTCCTCGGTGTGATTCAATAAGCGCTCATCCTTGGAAGGCTCTCCGTGGTATTGCTCGCGTGGTCCTAACACTGGATCTACTATTCCAAGGCCGACTTCATCCCATGGATGATCTTCAGGCAAGATGCCTAGTCGCTTCTCGATACCACGAGTCGCCGCATCCGTTCTTACTGACTTTGTTGTTGTTTGCAGCACAGATTCCTCCAAAGTTTCAGCCTCCGTGGCGTCAGCGTGCCAGTTCGTGATGCACTTCAAGATCATGGTGTTGTTGGTTTGCGTTGCACAACTTCGCGATGACGATGTAGTGTTGATACACTGTAGAGTCGCCAGAGACTTATTTTGTGAGAAAATGTAACCGACAGATGCAAAAGCCCGCCCCGCAGTTCGTTGCTGTGTCGCAATCGTCAAATGAGGCTTTCAGGAGTAGATAGAATGGGAACAGCCCTTCACGCATAAACCAGAATGCTCGTGTAACTGCTATCTATAGATGATTGTTAGCTAGGTAGAAATCGTGTGCACCCACATGTATTGGGAGCTGATAGCTGGCACTGCAAGGTATCATACAGGGCGGAGAGGATAGGTTGCAGCCGCAGATGGAGCCAGCTAGCGGCGCCTTGTCGCAGATGTGCTCATTGATTGTCGCCCCTCTGAAATTTGAAACCTTTGCGTTCCACTTCTCCCATCTTTCGCATCCACAGCGGTTCTGGCAACTTGATGTTGATTTCCTTTTTGAGATCTTCGTAGACAGGTCGTTCCTTGGATGCAGCGAGCAAGTCCACTTGTTGTGGCCCCAGCTCCAGATCTTCATCGCAAATAACGCAGGATTCCCACAGGGGGTATTCAAAAGTCAACTTGACATCCTCCCCGCGACATGCTATTTCTTGGAATGCAAATCCCCAACTATACTTGTCAAAGATTTCCGTCTGTGCCCTGCCTTTTCCCACAAACCCAAAATCCACGGGTCGCTGAAACTGTCGATTGAAGAGGATAAGAGTTCGATCTTTTCCCACCATGGCATCAATCTCTTGCATCTTATCGAGTTGATCCACTCCTGGAAAGAGAATAGCACCAATGTCATTCTTGGGAGACACGGTGGATTCTTGAACAAAGAAACCACAACAATCCGACTGGGAGATGACTTGAGAAGAGCAGCTGCCCGCCTCGTCGCCAACAATACCCCCCAACACTTCCTTGAGAATGGTTTCTGCGTAGGGGTACATTTGGGCCAAGCCACCAGGCCACGGATCGATATCTTCGGCTTGGGTCTCGGGAGGCAATGGGATGAGGTAGTCTACATAGAACCGCTTGGCCTTTCCCTGCTCGTTACAATCGTCAATGGCCTTTTTGAGACTCCGCACCGCTAGTCTCGTCTGTTCGACGGGCGATTGAGGGACCAAGGCCGAAACACAGGCGATTGCCCAGATGGAAGCCAGCGCCAACGATCTCTTGGCAACCGTTTGCATCATGGTGGCAGTGAAACAATTGGATTCTAGATTGTGTCACCGTCATGCATGCTACCGGTATCTCATGGTTCATCGTCGCCTTCTTCAAAACCAGCTCAAAAAATCTTTGAAGGCGAAAGAGGATCGCTGACGTCACTTTTGTGGGGGAAAGTGGTGTCGAAAGTTATTGGGGGGGCTAGCAACTACGGGGGGTTAGAAGTGTCCATCCGATGGATTGGCAAATGGACACTTGAATGTTCTGAAGTATGCTCAGAAAATGGATGCCCACGAGATTCACGGTATGCCCCCCTGCTGCAGAATATGGCCATTTGGATGTTCTCGACTGTGCCCATGAAAATGGCTGTCCTTGGGATTCATGGACATGCCATGAAGTTGCTGTCAAGGGATATTTGGAGACTCTGACATAAGAAGTCTGCCAATCCATGGGATGAATCCACAATGTCATGCGCTCAGGCAGCCAGAAACAGAAGTTTTCAACTCCTGAAGTTTGCCAATGAAAAATGGCTGTCAAACCTGCGCTCAGGCTGCCAAACATGGCCATTTGGAGACTCTGCAGTATGTTTACACGAAAATGGCGGTCCACGAGATGAATCTACATGCGGTGAGGGTACCTCAAATGACACTTTGGCATTCTGAACTATGCCCAAGTCAACAGCTGTCCATGGATTGGAAGAACACACCTCTACAGAAAGAGATGCAGGAATGCAGATGTATGGCAGTTGGCAGTCCTGGGATGCTCATGGAATTGGCAAGTTGTAGTCTCTATTTGACATGCTTGCTGGTGCTACTTTGCGTATCTTTGATCAACCTAGCCTCTTCTCTTTAACTTTCAACCATGCTGGTGGCTACCTGTACGTACCGTTGGGATCGTCTGATTCTTGATCCATAGCTGGGTCTACTATACACCAGCACAAGCTGTCTGCTACTGTCTTTTAAACATGCTGCCGCTTTAAGTCTACTCATTTTAGCTGCTTCAGCGATGGAAATTCTGATTCTGATTGCGCTTGCTGGCTTGCCTCCCGCAACGTCCTGATGACAACATTAAGCCGCGACACCCAATACGGCGAAGCGACCGGTCGTTGCGCATCAATGACCTCGACCTGCTTGATAGCCAAGGCGAACTCAGATGGCGTAAACACTCCCTCAATAGATTGTGTCGCATCAAAGGTCCTGCGGAATTTGCCCGAAATGGTGGTCGTCAAGCTGGCACCGGCATCGATCAATGTCTGAACCAGCTTTGGCATGGCACGGGAAATGGCAAAGAAAAGGGCTGGTCGATTCCCGTGGGGTTCTTCTCTCGTGGAGAATTGATTTGGATCAGCGTCATAATGTTGCAATAAGTATTCTGCGCAGGAAACGGTTGGACCTTCATCCATGTCCCCGCAACACACCACCTGCAAGAGCGTTCGTCCCGTACAAGGTGATACCCGGCTGATGTCCACGGGTGCAAACCGTTGTAGAAGCTGTCGTAGCTTGGTCAGTGTCAACACATTTGGTCTCTTGTTTTGGGCGATGCATTGTCGCATTTGTCCTTTGCGGGCATCACCATTGAATGGATCGGCCAATTCTTCTGCCTGATAGTACATCTCTTCGGTACGAGCTATGAGTTCCAGGTGTTCCTCTTGGACAGAATGGCGTGGATGGTCGCTATCACGAACTTTTGATGTAATGCCCCACATGTCAGTACGCTTGCGTCGTCGTTTCGAGGCACGTCGAGGATTGGAGGTCACCTTGTAGGTTGTCGCAGACTTCTTCTTGTTGTGTTTGCCACTCGCTTGATCCACAATGTATTCTCTCTGTAAAACTGCTTGCCAAATCCCCTTCGATAGGCTACCTGTCAGGAATACATTCGCTGCCTTGCAGAGTGGAGCCAGCTGACGCATCAAGACACCGGCGCGAAAGGTTGGTGCAGCCGTGAACTCCAGTATGCGATACAAGACGTCCGTGGGCAAATCACAAAGTAGCACCGGTACCTTGGCCAGTAGCTTGGTACACTTTCGACAAGTCCATGACACTGATTTTGCCTCCTCCGCCGTCACCCCCTCCACGCACTTTGGCGTTACATTGAACCAAGCCTTACAGGGACCTTCGCATTCGATCCAATAGACTGGAGTGGGACGGCCATGAATCTTGCCACAGACACATCCGTTCCAGGGGACATCCGTCTCTTCGTCACCATACGTCCCGTGCTTTTCAATGATCGATTCCACGCTCCTGTCATCATCATCCTGTTCGTCCTTTGCTTTCTTCCTTTTCGAGCTGGAACCTTGGCTCTTTGGTGCTGATGCCACCCCACTACCACTTCTCATGTTGCGCGTCTTCATCCTTCCTCCTTCGTGACAAAGCCCAGTATCAATGTCATCAAGATGAGAATCTTGGTCAGCTTTGGCACAATCTAATTCACTGCTGCTGCTCATGATGCCGCCGAAAGCAAGCGTTTGTTGCCTATCGATCTAACTTCTACCGTACCGGTATTACATCAACTTCGTTTTGAAGCCGCAATGAGAAAGGAATTGACCGTTGTTTATCGCTGGTTGGCTCTCCTCAGCGTTGCAAGTATGGTAATTAAGGCAATTGCTCCGAGCACCTCTGGGTTGTAGATAGCGTGGGAATTGTTTCCACGATAAAACTCAAATCGCTTGAACGAGGACGGAACAAGCGCTACTGTATTGAATTTCAGAACATTTCCGCCCATGGCAAGGAGAGCCGTTTCCAAGTCCTCAGACAGCAATCTGATGAGGGTGTCCTGCGTCTACAAATACCGGTACCATACCGGTATACTATTAGTACAGTACCGGTACCATAGGATACAGCAGAGCCAGAAGCGGGTAGCCTCGAAACCTTCCTTTAGAAGAAAACTATGGTGCTTACTTAAGGAGGCTTGAATGAATGGTGCCTCCAATTTGGAATCTCTGTCGCATTTTTCGAAAGGGCGTGACGAAAGCAAGTTATACCCGTTATGAGAGTTCAGCCAACGAACTATCTATGGATACATAATGAATTACAAACAAGGCCGACGAAAGGTTGGATCCAACTTTGCGAATTGGCGCTGAAGAAAATGCACCGCGTAGATTGGTCTGTATGTACGAGCTGCCTATGATACGACACTGGCAGCCCCTCGTCTGAAAGTAGCTATGGATTGTACCGGTACCGGGGGCTCGCCATATTATTCCCTGTTCAACATGTAATCCTCCATTTCTTCAACGAATTTCCCATCTTCGTCCTCCGTTCCGTGTGAACCTGTACTGGTAATACTTTTACGGTATGTCATGCCAACCAATACCATACCAACTAACGAATAGAGACATGGCACATGATACCTTTCGTTCTTTAGTTTGTGAGGCTTCAAACAAAAATGAGGCCTCATCCAACTTGTGCCTATTTCCTTTTGTAGAATGAATTCACCTGGCTACAGCGTAACTAGCTAGAGAGCTGTCCTTTAACGACAAAGTGCGGCGGCGAGTCCCATTTTGAAGCAATTGCACGACTGGTCACTCCACGCCCCTCTCAAAGCGACAAAATCAATGGAGGCAGCAACTTGTTGGCGAAATCGGAACGGGGTTTGGTTTCTATGAATTCTTTGAACGGAAGCTGCTTCCCACGAACAAAAGATCGCCCATAATGTAACCGGTAGAGTGGCCACATGGGAATACTCCCATTGTTCTTGTCACAAAATCTTTGCTTCATACGACCAACACAGAACCTAGCCATCACCAAAGCATGGCTCCAGCTGCAGCGGAGAAAGACAGTCAAGTCTTTCTTTCCAACCTAGGATCTTCTCACAAATCTTGCTCTTCGATTGAAGAGCCATTTGAAGATACCATAGAACTCAGTAGCACTGTACGTCTTTGGAACACCATCATGCCATCGATTTATCTTTTTGCCGGCTGCATCCAATGCACTGCGCCAAGGCTTCCTCGATTCCGAAGCCGCAAGAGCAAAAAGTCGCGCAAAGCCATCAAAGATGGATCGGATCCCAGTGCTGACTATCCTGAGCCACCCACTCTGTTCTGTGGGAAGCCATCGTTAGCTAATGCCTCTTCTGGTGAAAGCTTCATGACTGACTCCACCAACAGTTTTTCCAGTGGAATGCTATCATGCAACTCCCTGCCCTACTTTACTCCATCTGCTTCACCAATCAACCAAAAGCCACTTCGAGCTTATTGCCTTTCCAAGGAAGTCAACATTGAGTTTCCAGCTGGTGGTGGTGAAGTTGAGATTCAACCTGCGGAGCCATTCTACTTTCAGTCGTTCTTGAATGAAGACGATGATGGCAAAGATCTTCAGTCTGCTAGCGACGACAACGATTGGGGGTACTTTGTGGACATGTCATAAGTTTATGAAGATCCCAAATCCAACCCAAACTAAATGAATCGAATCAGGAGAGATCTCCCCTCCTGTCGCTATATATCCGCAAGTCGAAACGATGGGCTTGCTGTTCCGAAACACCACTTGTTTGTCACAACCATGGACATTTGCATACTTAGAAAACCATAAAGAAAAATAGAGAATGATAGATATTCACACCGTGTAGTGTTTGTGCATTGAATTATGTACTGAAGCCAGTACTGTAGTCTACACACATGCAACAGGACTGCACTTGCTATTCCATGGATGCATGCTTCATCTAATGGCTGCTCGAAAGGCATCAAAGGCCACCAGCAAGAGTGCTCCACTGACTGATCGCAGAATATTGGGTCCCAATCCCAAAAAGAATCCCCGAATGCCTTCTGTTGTTGCAACAATGTAGATGCAATGTATCGAGTTGCGATACAATCGTTTGGAATGTGGTTTTCCAGCCTGCATCATGAGTCTTCTCCGGACCGAATCCAAGGGATAACTAATGGTACCTGCTGTCAGACTCACAGCTTGGGCAATCCCTATTCGTTGCCCCCATGAGAGGGATGATTGATTGTCGTGCAATGGTTGTGATTGTGGTTGTTGTTTTCTGTTGTAGAGATCCGTTTCAGATTTTATGACATCATATCCTCCCAGCAGCAAGATCCTGTAGAAAATGCCACCAAAGAGAGCAATGCCATATCCTTGGTACAATCCTGTAATACCATCTGAGCGTAGAATGGTGGTAAGAGCATGACCAATGCCTTGGAATTGATACTGCCCCCTTTGCTTTCCCTTGGCCAGATCGGCTGCCAATCGAGTTCTCAAGAAATCAATGGGATACAAAATGGTTGTGGAGGTTCCACCAGCCAATCCACCTGACACCAAGGAGGTGACATTTTTGCGTCTCCGTTCCAATTGGTCTGGACTGCGTGTTGTTGTGGTGGTCAAAATAGGAGAATTCAGTATGGGTTGGACAGCTGCCTTGTAATAGCTCATGCAGGTGAAATTAATGGCAGCACTTCCAGACACTCTCATGACACTATTTGTTAAAAAAACAAAATGGAGAAAGATGAGAAATCACAAGAAGGGAAATGAAGGAAGATACGGTATCCAACGAACTAACTCACTTGGGCAAGTTTCCCCTCCAAAAACTGAGAATCCCTTCATTGACATAGATAGAATTGGCCAGTTGCCAGGCATTTTTGGTTTTCGGATTGTTCTCGAGGGAATGTTGGAGTTGCAATAACAGTTTGAGACGTTCAATGGGAGCTGTTACCGTCCTGGAAAAGGCTCCAGCACCGGCTCCTGCAGCAGCATCTCGCCAAGAAGGACGCTGCTTTTGACCCTTGTTGTCAGTGCATGGCATGGCCTCTCTATTTCAACAACGGGGCTAATGAAAGAGCATTGAAAAACGTGTATGCATGTCACAATGCATGCTTCCGACAATGCAGAGAGCGACGGTCTCGTGTTGTGTTGTGTTGTGTCCTTGCGTGGGCGTTTTTTGGAAGAGGTAGCGGTACCATCGTGCGTCATCGACCAGTCATCCTCATCGTTCATGGCATCCATCTGAGCCAGCAGAAATGCCAAAATTAGAGATCGCAGAGCCGACAACAGAACCAAATCAATGAACACAAGCAAGCTACCGTAGCAAGTACCTTTCCTTGGAAGACTTTCTGTGACACTAACTCAATTTGAAAGGCTCAGCTACGGTACCGGGTACTGACCAAATCATAATATTTGATGACCTTCTACTGATTCTGATTACTTGTTGGTGGTATTCTACCTCCATCCATTTTGACCTTCTCCATGATACACTTACCCTTCCCACCCATGACAGGCGGCAACACATCTACATCAACAAACTCTTGCAATGCTTCCAGATAGTCATCCTGAGTGACCAAGTTCAACAAGCGAAGACTCTGTTCATCATAAAAGTGTTTGACTAAATTCCACCCCATTCGAAAGATCTTGGGTGCCCGCACCACAACAATTCTCTTTGCAAACCCGGGGTAGTAGTACTGACCCACAAAGGACGATTCCTGGAGTAGGCCAAATAAGACGGGTCGGAACTGACGAATGCTCAGTCCGTGCAAATCCACAATGCATGTAAATTGTGTCATGCGTCTGCCCTCTTCTGTCATCATTGGTTCATAATAGTATTGCTGCCAATCCAAATGTTTGGGCATCCCATTGCCTCTGGCCGACATGAACTCGGAGAAGAAACGGTCGGCCCAATACATGGCATCGGGACCCACTTGCTGGTACAACCCCCAGGCATCAAAACAGACAATTCGGTTAATCAAGACGGGATCCCTGTCCTTGTCGAGCCCTGCCAGCATGCAAAGAGGAACATGGCGGAATATTTCTGGTGGTTCTTGCAGATTCTCCAAGAAGGTATCCATATCCTTTTCGAGTCTCCACTGGACCATGTCACGAAAGAGTTTTTCCGCTTTGGGCAGGTCCATGTCGAATTGGTACAAGAATCGAATTACTTCGTATGGATCATTTTTCCAGTGGTCAATATCCGAGAGTGCGTTTCCAAGCTGCCTCAACACGTTGTGCTCTGTAGTATTCAGTTTCCACAAATTGGAGACTTTTGACAGGTTTTCCTCACTCCAGCGTGACAATACGGTCGAACAGGACTCTTCCTCGTCGTCAAGGTCAGCCCCTGTAGCAACATCTGTCTCTGTTTCCAGACCATCATCAGCATCATCGATGCCGGTATTGGGGCAATCTTGACCATGACTGGTATACTGTCCTGCATTATTATTGAGTAAGGACACCCACAATAGAGCAAGCACAAGGCGTTTCATCACCATGGTCATCTTCTGACATCAGACTGCCCACTGCGAAGAAAGCTCGAGGCAAAGACGTTCCCGTGTTTGAAAAGAAGCCAGCAGCACTGTCTGACCACCGTTGGATCCCAAAGATCCATTTCGAAGATCCAAAGATCCAAGGACATCACGAGAGCACTCACAAGAGCTGCAGATGATGGATAGTGATAGCAAATTGATGGCAATAATAAGAATCCCTCTTGGTGTCCCTACTAGGAACACTCCACAATCACAGTTTTCTGGGTAGAAATCATCAAAGACAACAGCAAAGTTTTTTCTCTACAGAAACCATGACGACGACTACTACACTAAAGGACTGGTTTCGCAATACTAGCGACAGCGAGAACAAGAAGATTATGCTGTTGGATGGAGGCGTCAGTACTCATTTACGAGACTTGTGCGGCCAGCATCCCAAAGGTCATCCTCTTCGTGCTGACTGGTATCCCGAACTCTGGTCCTCGTCTCTTCTCATGACACCAGACGGCCGGGAGACCATTTTGAAAGGACACCAAGATTGGTTGGCCGCCGGCACCCAAATACTCACCACGGTCACCTATCAGTGCGGCATGGTGAATGCGATTGTCAAGGATGAGACGACAGCCACACAAATGCTGGCGGATGGCGTCCAGTTGGCTCGTCAAGCCACGCAACACAACGGCAAAGAAGAAGACAAGTTTGTCGTGGCCAGCATGGGTTGTTACGGTGCCGCATTGGCTGATGGCAGTGAATATACCGGCCACTATCCCAACATTCAGTCGGAACAAGAGTTGCAAGATTTTCACAGACGCAAGACACTTACGCTACTGCAACAAAAGCCCGACGGAATTGCCCTCGAAACAGTTCCTTGCGTCATGGAATGCCGTGCCTTTATCCAGTTGATGCAGGAACTGCAGCAGCAAGACAATAATGACAAAAATTGCGCCTGCTGGATTTCATTCGCATGTCGCAATGGGCACGAACTCAATGACGGAAGCAAACTAGAAGAGGCATTGCAAGCTATTCAGGAACTGGATCCAGAGGCGACCATCATTCATGCCATTGGCGTCAATTGTTGTGATTCACAACACATACTCTCCCTCGTTCAAATCATTGCCGACTTTTTGGTATCAACAGCACGACGTGGAGTGATCATTTATCCCAATAGCGGAGAAGAATGGGATGGTCAAACCAAAGAGTGGAAGCAAGGGACCGGTTACGTCACAATGAAGATGTGTTTGCAAAACGGCTCATGGAAGCGGTGGAGATTGTTGAACGTACTTGGAAGAACAGCAGCAACAACAATCCACCACCTCGAATAGTCTTGGGCGGGTGCTGTCGCACACGACCAGCCACGATTCGTGCACTGCGGACGTTGGTAGACCAGCGACAAACAACAACAACGACAAAAAAGCAGGAATCGCCAGCATCATTGACATCCGAACAGGAAAGAATGCTGGCCAGGATCATGGGTCGAGAGGCAGACTTTGATCGGCAACTGGGGGAGATTGGAGAAGGCTTGCAAGACTTGGCAGACACACAACAACTGCAGACAGAGCATGTTCAGAAACAAGCAGCCACAATCAAAAAAGTAAACGACAAGGCGCCACTCTAGCTAGTTTGATACTGTTGACCTTGTGGGGCGGTCTTCTTTTCTTCACAGTGATACCGATAGCTGTCAAGTTGGCGAGAACTGCACTACTAGTACCGGTACCTAGCTAAATAATATGCAAACATGATGGCCTATAGTGAGATTGATCGAAATGGAACTGCACCTATTATTATGTTACATGTATGTAAATGGAATGACCGGGTGGGAACGAAGCCGGCTTAAGTAATGAAATACGGTAGAACATCGGAAAGGCAGTCCAGTTTGATGTGTGCGCCTCGACCGACCCAGAACGGACTGAATGAGTGCGAGGCCAAGAGTGTTGCTTGTCCAGTCTAGTGGATCCTGCTCAGATATGGTGGACCACAACAAGGACCAAGTCTGCATAAGTCTGCATACTGGCGCCTCTCTTTCATTTCATTTCTCTCTGGCGCCGTTGCAAACTCAGGATTGTCGTCTCTGACTGCTGCATCCCTCACTTCTTGGTGTATTCCAGGGCAATCGACGTTATCACGTAGACGGAATATAGGCTTAGTGCCAAGTATCCATGTTGCTTTGGGATGCGACCGTGGCAAAGGAAAACACCCACTCCCACAATGGCGGTACAGTTCAACATGACAAAGATAAAACCAGCCCGGACGGAACCGGTGATTTCAACCGGTATTGAGCTCGTTCCTTCCTTGGCGCCAAGAGAGTAAAAGCCAAGACCCAGCCCAATCAAGAGATTAAAGACGGGACCAGCAAAACATGCCGTCATGGCCATGTTGGCCAAACCCTTTCGTGCCATGGCGACATTGGCACTCAAATCCGCCACGGAGTTTCCCCACGCAAGAATTGTCAACCCAATGACGGGTCCTGGAATTCGCAAGAGAATTCCGATAAAATCCAGCATATTGACCAAATGATCGGCAATGGCATCGACCCACATTGCTCCAATAATGAACCCGTACAAGGCAATCGGAGTGGCCGCAAACAAGGCCATGTTACCTTCTCCAGCCGGTGCATATCGAAGCACCAATGCCCCCATTCCAATGGCGACGGCCCAAAGAACTCCCATGTAGAACATGACCTCCCAGGTAAAGAGTGGGACGCCATGTTCGGCCCACAAATACAAACCTAGATAAATCGGTGATACTGCCATGGAAAGTGACACCAGACCACGGCAGTAATAGCCGTCGCAGGGGATCGGGACTGTCACCTGCATTTCATTTATTTCGTAGCAAGGGGTTAGAGCGCTCACTAGCAGTCATGAGACAAGCAATATAAAGACTTGTTTTTTGTCACATACCTGCCGCAAAAAGGTAAACGGCAATTCACAAAACAACATTCCCTTCTCCGCCCAGTGAATGTCTCCATTGTAGGCAATATCGTCCCACACTTGATGTGCATGATCCAAGATTTCCTGTTTTCCTTCTTCAAACGCCGCTGGCCAATTGTACGAGATGGATCCTCCCGCCGGTCCTGGTTCGGCACAAATCCGATCCTGTGCGTCTTCCAAGACGGAATAGGGGGTCCCATGCTCGTCTCCCTCTAGAGGTGGTCGTTCATTGGGATCTCCTCGAATAATGCCTCTGGCTCCATGGAGCATGACGGGTCGTTCTTGTCCAATTTCATCGGCGCCCACACCCCATCCTTCGTTGGCCGGAGTACGATCGTAATTGCTGAGTGCGGAAAGGACATTGCCCAATGCCGTCGGTGCGGGTTGTTGTTGTTGTGGTGGTGGGGGCTGTTGTATTTCCAAGTTGGTGCCACTGCCCGACGCCAATTCATGAATTTCTTCGGCCGCTTGCATTTGTCGTTCTCGTTCGGATTCATGATCTTGCAGTGCCTGTCGTGGCAATACGACGCCGCGATGATAGGCATCGGCCACCAGGACTACCAAGACAAAAATACCGTACAAACTCAAAAATAGCGAAATGGCTTCCGGTCCAATTTCGCCCGTTGCAAAATGCACCCAAATGACAATCATGGTCAAGAATAGCATGAGAACATCTCGTACCAGTGCTCCTCGACATGGCACTCCACCGGCCACAAGAATCACAACCGCACTAACGACTCCTCCCACAAACATGGCAGCACCGGTCAATGCTCCCAAACTCATTTGATATCCATTTTTCATATCCGAAGTGACGGCATTGATGGTCGCACTGACATCGGCCGCTCCATTGCCCAACGCCAACAGCGTCACACCGGCAAAGCGAGGAGGCAACTTGGCCTTGACGGAAAAGTATTCCAGACTGGGACTGAAATAATCTTCCGCCGTCGACCCCAACAAGCGAAACATCAAGATCAACCAGAGAATGACAAAGGGACTAAGCATGGCGCAGACAGCTGTGGGACTGAGCCGTTTGGAACAAAAGACAAAGGGCAACCAAATGCCGGCGCCATCGTTGCACGTGCGGGCAAATGTGCATTGATCTTCTCGACTGTCGGGGGCGACCGTAAAGAGATCATGACAGGAATTGCCGGAATAGTCGTCGTGGACAAAAATATTGTCTTCCAATTGGCGGTGTTGTTGACTACTATTGGAAGAAGAGAAGCACAGAGACAAGACGGTCAAACCCACCAGTGCAAACGCGGTCAAACTCAACGACATTTTCGTTTGGAACCGATGCCGCGTCGGGTCCATCCGTCGTTGTGTTCGAGTCTCCTGGTAGGATCGTACTACTGATGATGCCGTCATCTTGCCGTTGATCAATCAATGGTAATTGTAAGTATAATAGAAGTCCAATGCCTTGGTGTTGTCCATGGTCGGAATGATCGAGTGCTGCCTTCAACTGACGCCCTTCGAGTCCCACTCGATCATCAATTCGTGATGGTACAATTTCCACGGTGCAAAGCGTGGATTTCGTCATTTTGAATAACGCGAAGGTCCAGCAATCGAGAGGACACAGACACCATCTAACTAAAGACACCATTGACAATGCCAAGACCAAGATCCAGGACAAGACCTGCTCAATAGCATCTCATCTTGGCTGAAAGCAGTTGGAGGGTGGCCGCACCTTGAGCGGTTCAACCTCCAGGAGTGACAAGTCGAGTCCAGCCACCTTGTTGGTTGTGGGCTACGGTATTCCTCCTTTGTCAGGACATCATTGCCTGGGAAGCGAGATGAGCGGCTAAAAGCGACAACTATTGAATCTGTATAGCTTTCAATAAGCGGGAAAAGTACTATGGCAAAGAAAGTCGGAAGGAAAGACAACAAACTAGCCAGAAGCAGCGAAGCAACAGAGACGCGTGGAGCCGAGCAGTACAGTACCAGCAACGCTTTAGCAATTTGTGTTGTAGCACAATAGTTTTGCTATTAGCATTCTTTGTTTTAACTTTTAACATGCATTGTCACGATCACACAATTACATCTTGCCGGCTTCCAAACAACAAGGCACCAACTCATATTGAATCAAAGGTGCCCTTTAGTTCGGGCAGCAAAAGGTCACACATATAATTTGCTTTTGGGATTTGCTTTTGGGAATTCACAACCTTTAGGCATGTTCTTCCCCGCCGTCCCCAGCGGTGATTTCAGGCTCCACATTCGTCGGTTCTACATCCTTGGCAGCCTCGTCCTCCTTGACTGGTTCCTCCTCTGCTGCAGCAGCAGCAGCTCCGTCTTCCTTCTTGGGAGTTTCCACATCATCAGATGCAGCAAAGTCGGCAGTAATGTCGGCAATCTCTCTCCAATACAACCAGTACACGGCAATGGTGCCAATAATCATGAGAGCCAGAGGAATAAGGCCGTAGTACCAAGTGGCCCAATCTTCAGGGTTCGACTTCAGCAGAGGAGCAATCGTTAACGAGATGATGCTCATGAGCTTGATGAGAATATTCAAGGCAGGACCGCTGGTATCCTTGAACGGATCTCCGACAGTGTCGCCAACAACGCATGCCTTGTGTGTTTCAGTTCCCTTGCCGCCCTTGGCCCTGCAAAAACCAGAACATGGGAGAGAGAAACCGTTAGGAAAAATCAACAAAGAGCTTCCACAAATCTACCACTCCAAGACACATACCCTTCAATTTCAATGTACTTCTTGGAGTTATCCCAAGCTCCACCAGCATTGGCCATCATAATAGCAAGCATCATTCCAGAGGCAATGGCTCCACCCAACATTCCCGTCAAGCACTTGGGTCCAACGAGGAATCCCACAGTAATGGGAGAAAGAATGGCGTAGATACCAGGAAGGATCATCTCTTCGACAGAACTCTGGGTAGAAATCGCAACGCACTTGTCCGAGTCGGCCTCGGCAGTTCCTTCGCGGAGTCCTGGAATCTCGGCAAACTGACGGCGAACCTCAATGATAATGGCTCCAGCAGCCTTTTGGACGGAAAGCATGGTCAAGGCAGCAAACAAAAAGGGAAGCATGGCACCAATCAAGACTCCGGAAAGGACAACGGCGTCAGTAATGTCAACCGAGACTCCAGCTTCGTCCAGGCCAGCCTTCAACTTGAAAGCACTCAACAGGGAGAGAGCTGTAAGGACAGCAGATCCAATGGCAAAACCCTTTCCAGTGGCAGCCGTGGTGTTTCCAAGAGCATCCAATGCGTCGGTAGTATCACGAACACGTTCTTCCAGTTCAGCCATTTCAGCAATACCTCCTGAAACAAATTAAAAAAGATAAAACAGAAGGGAAGTATGAGCACACTCTTTCATGGCTTGCTTTGAAGCTTCAAACAACAAAATATTCTCATTGCACGCACCAGCATTATCGGCAATGGGACCATAGGCATCGGTGGCAAGGGTTACTCCCAAAGTGGAGAGCATTCCAACAGCAGCCATGGCAATTCCGTATCCGTCAGCGAGAGCATTGCAGCCGAGGATGGTTGCCACAATGATAAGGACTGGGAAGACACAACTGATCATTCCAACACCCAAACCTTGAATGATGACAGTAGCTGGACCGGTAACACCTGCATCGGTGATGGACTTGGTGGGCCAGTAAGAGTAGGAAGTAAAGTATTCCGTGACTTGTCCAATCAACACTCCAGCAACGAGACCAATGACGATGCATGCATAAATCCTCCAGCCGGCTTCAGAGTCCGTGTCTTCAAAGAATTGCCAGATGATAATGGCGGAAAAACCCAGAACAAAGGTAGAGGAGACAATGGTTCCCTTGTGTAGCGCAAACATGAGTTCCTTCTGGCCAGCGTCATCGGCAGCTCCAACGGCAAAGTAGCCAATCATGGCCGCAAAAATACCGGCACCAGAAATCCAGAACGGGAGAGCTGTCATGGCCCTGTCTCCAGAAGCGAGGGTGACTGCAGCAATAATGGAACCAACCTGAAGGGAGAAAAGGGTTCGGACGAGTGAAGCAAACAGGGGATGAGATGAAAGAAAACGCACTTGAAAACATTTGAAAGAACAGCACAGCACAACACAACGACTTACAAATGATTCAAAGAGATCGGCTCCCATACCAGCAACATCTCCAACATTGTCACCGACATTATCGGCAATGACAGCGGGGTTTCGAGGATCATCTTCAGGGATATCCATCTCGACCTTTCCGACCAGATCAGCTCCAACATCGGCGGCCTTGGTGTAGATACCTCCAGCGACACGGGCAAAGAGGGCAATCGAAGAGGCACCAAATCCAAATCCAGCCAATACATCGGCGGCATATCGGAGCTTCGCTTCCACGTCGGGATTCTCGCCAGAATCCGTGTTGCTATCGTATCCCAAGGACACCAAAAAGAACATGAGCGAGACACCACCCAATCCAAGACCAACGACAGTAAATCCCATGACAGCTCCTCCCGTAAAGGCCACGCGGAGAGCCACGCCCAATCCTTCCTTGTCGGCAGCTTGGGTAGTGCGAACATTTGCATCCTATAGAATGACAGTAAAAAATGGAAAGAAGTGAGAAAAACTGTTGCCAACTCACAACAGACCGCAAAGGGTGAGAATGAATCAGAACATACCGTCGCCACAGCCATTCCACCCCATCCAGCAGCACCCGAAAGGAATGCTCCCATCAAGAAGCAGGCAGCATAACGAATTCCGTCAGTTTTATCTCCCGAAGGAGGGTCCAGAGAGTACAAGATCAAAAGAATGGTACAGACTACCACCACAAACACGGTAAGGTATTTGTACTCGGTCACCAAGAAAGCACGAGCTCCCGACTTGATTTGATCCGAAATCTTGTTCATGTGGTCCGTTCCACGGGGTGCTTTGCGGAGCTTTTGTTGATCAAAAATTGCAAAATAGTGAAACACAATGGTGAGTTGCCATTTCAGCAGGATTGCATGCATGCCTCCATCCTTTGATGCAATGCTGCCGATCGGCACTTACCTGTTGCAGCAAGAAGAAAACCATGATCAGCCCCAAACCGGAAGCTGCCAGGCCCAGGGAGACCAGAGTGATGGGATTTTCACTGCAAGGAAACTGCCGCGGGTCGAGGCTGCAGTACCCAACGTCCAAGTCCGTGTAGTTCGTCATTGTTTCGTTTCAAAAGAAAATTGATAATAATAATTGCCTTCACCAATAGATAATAATGAAACTTTTGGCAATTGTTTTGTTGTGAGCTTCCGAAGATGAGAAGAGGAAAGAAGAATGTTTGTCACATGACACCAGGGTTGTCAATCAGAACTGATATCTTGGCTACCCAATTGCAGAACCCCCTTCACTCAGGCTTCCTCTTTGTGGAGGTATCGGAACCCTCATTTTGTGAGCGGCTGCGCTTTGATGTCACGGGTGATCATACGGATATCTTCATGACAAAGATCCTACACTCTGGCACTCTTGGTTATTAAATGGTTTGCGTGCTCCTCATTATTCAGAGTTAAGTATGTGCCAACGGACGATAATAAGTGTGAGGTAGCATCTGTCACACTCGAGTTAGCCGATTGTTAACGATTGAAACAGCTTTGGCTAAGTACTTGTAGGATCGACAAGCGTCTGCCAAGCTTTTAGTCACCTAAAGGCTTTTGCGGAGGCGCGCCTAACCCATTCTTTGTGATTGGATCAGCTTTGGATCTTTGACACCAAAGATCCATTTCGCCTGACTGAATTGTTCTCTTCCATCAGGTTGCGCTCTGACGAAGGCCCTCATCTTTCTGTTGAATTATGCTATTGCAATAGATGTTGGTGTCTTCAATCATATTGACCGCAGATGATTGCTGCACTATTATATGGCCCCGAGAGCTCCAACTGGAATGCAAACGAGGCGGTGCAACGGAAATTGCAGCTGCCCCATGATACCGTACCCAAGAGCTTCAAGGAACCTATCTGCTAGCTAGCTCGGTGCCCACGCTGAATAATCTGGGTGTCTCCAATGCAGTTAGCTTCAAATACTACCATGATTATCTTTATCATTGCTACTTGAAACTGAGAACCTGAGAGAAACGCTGTGATACCGGTATTAATAGTACAACATGGGGTTGTACTTGGAGATTTTTGCACCTACACACAAAGCAGGAAATGATAGAACCATTCTATCGGGGTCAGACGTAATGGAACTCGATGGTTGTTTTAAATTCACATTTCCCCTTCAGCGAGACGCAAGGGATCATGTTGTTGACACCGACCGACGAAATCGAAATCAGGGCAACGTTCTTTTGTGATTGCGTCGACGCTACCAAGCTCCCGTCAATGTACCACGAATTTCCACGATCTTCGCACCTGATCACACTTCCTGCCTTCACTGAAGCATTGGGTACCTCAGTGAACTGTCCTTGGACAACGATTCCTGACCTTACAAAATCCCATGCAACGCTGTAATTGCCATAGCCGACGCCTTCAGTGCCGTCACTTTTTCTATTGAACAAGTAGCTGCCGTGGCCTTCGCGCATCCATCCAACTTGAGTCGGACTCCGAGAATCCGACTTCTTTGCGGGAACCTTGACTTCAAACGACTTGATATACATCCGATGACGATTCTCGAGTGGCTGAAGACAATACGTGGAAAAGTCACCTCCTGCTCGGACCTCAAAATCAGGGTGACTTGCAACCAGAGTCGACGGAACACCATTCGATGCCAATTGATAAACTCCAACCTGATAGACGCCAAGACTCATCCCGTAGTATTCCACCATCCGGTAAAAGTCAAACCTCCTCTCAGGGTCATTGAAGGACGGCGGATAAGGACGGCGCACGATGGGCGTTTCAGTTGCAAGAGCTCGCAAATAGTCGATCAGCGGGCGGAAGATCTCAATCGGCTGATCAATAAAGATCCTGCCATCCTTGGTTTTTGGGAGACTATCATCCCAGCGTCCACTGAACATGGCTGCAAGCATGGTGAGATCAACTTGCGTCAAAGTCCTACGAGAAACCGAAAGATGGGTGCCTCCAACGTCCAGTTCCAACACATCATCCGGCTCCCCGGCGTTTGGGTATTCCTCCTCGAGTGTGGCCTTGAGGCGCTGAAGATCTTTTTCGCGCTTATCCAGACGTTCCTCTCTCTCTTTGAAGAGCCCAGGTAGCTGCTTCAGGGCGTCATCCAGATTTATCTCCATCGTCAAAACTTGCAAGAGAGATACAAGCGCACTGAACATCGAGTGGAGAAGTGACCAAAACCACATTGATGCGAGGCATCTTCTGGAAATCTATTGCCAGCTAGCACGCCTACTGTATGGCATCCCTGTGCTCATACGTATGACAGTACCTACACATACGAGATCGAAATTTTCACGAAGACCCCAGTTCGGGGTTTTCTTGCAGACCTCTCTCGGATTCTGGGTCGTTCTCGTTGCCTGCATGTCCGGCCCTGGAAGACAGGTTTAGTCGGGTAGTAGAGGTAAGTTTAGGGTTAAAGTCAATATTTACTTCTCATTTTTGCATAGAAAACTTTATTTACCGCAACTACCTGATTTCCAAAGTTGTCTTCCAGCAAAGGGCCAACAGGGGAAGTTTTCATGAAACGATGCATTGGGGCGACGATACCGTAAGAGTTACTACGAGGTGCTTCAGGATCTTGCCTGCGTTAATTCTGGCTGTGACCTCAGGGAGACACTGGGGCAATGACAAGCTACTTGAACTGGAGAGAGAATGTGTTGACCGTAGAGTATTAGATCCTCTCAGGACGATCCCGGTCGTTGGCAATCATTGCTTCTGAAGATGCCCTTCCAGTACTCCTTGCCGGACTTTTTTTGCGTCCAGTCCCTCTAGTAGCGAGCGAGAGTTTCGTCTCCTTTAAGGTGCAAGTTGTGGTGCTACTCGAGTGATACATTTCCTAATCAATTTAGCCTTTGTTTGTACGTCTACACCTGGCAGGAGTGAAGAAGTTTTGTCAACGGGCCAGCGTGGCCAAATCTTAGTTGGAAGAAGGAGGCTTGAAGGTGAATGTGGCATTTTCAGTAACTTGCATCGTTTGTTTGGATTGCCTAGCTAGCTCGTTGATTGGTTCTGGATCATCGGTTTATGCATGCAAGTGTCACCAAGGAAGAAACGGAATGGATTTGTTCTGCGAAAGACTTTGAGGTTCCAGGACAAACACATTGTCCTCCGCAGGGACACTGTCATCGAGTAGATTGCGAACAATCTTCATGACATCCTGCACGGTGAGTTCATTGTCGTCTGCGGCAATCATCTGATAGAATTTCTCTTCATTGAGGTTGACTCCGTCGATTTGCTTGAGACGGGCCTTGAGGATATTCGTTTCCCTGGGCGACAAGGAAAAGTTTCCATCTTGGTCACTGGCGACCACGGCCGAGATGATCTGCTGCATGACTTGTCGTTCCAGAGACTTTTTGATTTGTGTCTGCAGGGTTTTGGTCTCCTTGACGATTTCTACCAGCCGAGCGACTTCCGTGTTGCTTTCCTCGGCAATCTTGGATAATCCCTCTTCTACTTGGGATAATCTGTTAAAGTAGTACAGGAATTGATTGGAAAAAGGAGATTGAAAGAGGTGAGAGACTGCTACGAGGTTCCTGAACTTCCTTCTAACAGCTAGCTAGCAGGTAGCTCATCTCCCTCACTCCCTCACCTATCCGTTTGAGTCTTCATTTCCTGGACAGTGCCCTTGAGCTTGTCATTTTCGGTCAACAGCACATTGCACTTGGATCGCAAGCCGTTGTGCTGTCCCCGGATATCTCCCAACAACTGCAGTTTGACCTTTTGAACGGCCACCACGGGCGATATTATCAGCAAACAAAAGGCGGCAAATTCAATGAGATACCAAGAATACAGGTACCCTGTAACGGCTCCCGAAATCATGGCCACTGCCGCAATGACATGAATGATGGAAGGAGAGGCTGCCATGACGGCTTCGTCGGTATCTTCTCCGTCGACATGGACTTGGCCTCGATCATCTTTGCTCACGGGTGTCTTGCCCAAATTGGATATAGATTTCTTAATGGCGTGCAGCTGCAGAGCCAATTTGAGCTGGAGACTGGCCAGGCTGCTGCTCGACATTGTTCTAGCTAGAGAGTGTCTGTCGTAGATAGCTTTTTAACTCTGTCGTATCGGGCTGCCGTCGCTGTTGTTGGAAGTGATGGCTGAAGTTGAACGATACCGGTACTGGTACCGGTACGGTGTACAGTTGGATACCATGAGGCCATCGTCCATCATTTTGGATCTTTTGCTGTAAATCCTTAGCCCTATCACGGTACATCGTATCTTTTCTCAAAAGTTGCTTCCAATGCGACCGGTGGCGTGGACCTCTTTGCTTCGACCATCGAAGTCTCCGACCAAAGCGTGGAAGGTTGCATTTAAAAACGGAGGAAACTTTGCATGGGGGTATCATAATTTCACGATCGAGAGACAGCTAAGAGAGCGTGAAAACAGACTGTGTTGACGGACTGCAGTAGCAAGCAAGCAAGTAAGTAAGCAAGAAACAGAGGGAGAGAGATAACCTAAGCAAAGCCTTTGAAAGATGACATCAACAAAGAACATGACGGGAAACGAAGGAGAAACCAACGGGGCTGTGCCTTCCTTTGTTCTTCCACCAGTGGTACGTCGCATTCTGGATCAGATCAATAAGGACGGCGCCAAGATCTACACCCAAGACTTTGAGTACATTGAAGCAGTTGTGGCGGCCGAGTCCTCTCGGAGTCTGGCATTTAACCTCCAGCATTCGCTCAACCAGGCGTTCTTCAAGGTTCAGCATCTCAAATACATGCTCACCGACAAGAAGGAAACCATGACGGCCAAGGAACTGTTGGATTTTCTGGCAGACCTAACTGTCACGTTGGAACAATTCCGTGACAGCCAGCTGGCCACTATGGAGCGGAAGCCAGTGTTGGAGAAATTCCTCGAGGAAATGGAAGCCACGGAACAGGAAAAGAAGGTTTTTTATTTTGCCTTGGCGGCAAAGACGGGGATGACGGAATATGCCAATGAGTATGTATTTGATAGATTTGACCGGAGGAGAGGCAAAGGCTTGGCTTCGATTCCTGCAGAATGCATCAATCCGACAGTCCTCAACGAAGTATTCAATATTCCTCTTTTGGAGCTGTTTGCAATGGCAAGCAACAAGTCTAAATTTGTGAAGGAGCATTTCTTTGTCGATTGCAAGGGTCAAGTTCTGCGAGAGATTGTAGACACTACCTTGTTCAGTGTGGATCCTTTTCTTGGGCTGGATACCATGACTATCGACTCCTTTGAGGCATTGGAGAGCGACGTGCTCAAAAAGGTCCTCCTGCAGGATTCGGCCTTTTTGGAAACCAAGGCTGGAAAAGCTGTACTCAAAGTGAAGAACGTCGAGACGACGGTGCAACAGGAACCCCCTCCTGTGGACAGCAACGCAGCTTCACCCCCAGGGCACATCAATGGGTTAGATTTTGATATCGTGCAAGCCATACAAGCGGCAGGGGACAATGGAATTTACGGGTCCGTTTTGGATATCTTGTCTGCAGCCCGTGGAAACGGCCTCGTCAGCCCATTGTCATTCAACAAGGATTCAAGTGGGGACGAGTGGACGACGGTTTCCCCTTCGAACAAGCTAGATTCGGACTCCGAGACTGGGAAGAACGACGGGAAAGAGGAGGATTTGCCGCAAGAGAACGAGTATGGACCTTACAGCAGTGATTTGAGCTATTTGGAAGATCAGGTACGAATAGACTTGTACGCGTGCTCGTTGTGGTACAACCATGCCATCACCTATAACCGATTCATCATGTGGAACAACTCGTATTCTCGTCTACTCTTCACGAAGGTCCGAATAATGGAACAGGCTCGTCTTTTGAACCGAATGAAGCTTTCTCTCCAGGAAAACAAATTCAAGGACGACCAGCTTCTCTTTCGGGAAAAGCAAGACCCGAAAATGGAATCTTTCATGAACGCATGCCAAGGCTTTTCGTGTAAGTCTTGAGGAATGAAGAACCGCCACAACATCACAAGGCCAGAAGCACGCCGCTGACACATCGTTTTTCTGAATAGTCTCGAAAGTCGGCCCTCGTCAACGACAGCTAAGTGATGCCGAAAAGGAGGACAAGCAGAGAACCATTGAACGGCTGACCAAGACGAATATGAAGTTGCAAAACCGCGTCCAAACCCGTATCGCAGCAACTCTTCAAAAGAAAGGACGGAAACTGCGACTCGAAACAATTACAAAGGCGCTTTCTCTTTCTGAATTCGAGAAGTATGTGATCCTTTCGTTGCTCAAGTCTGTCATCGTGCCCGTTGAACGCAACGAAGTCCAAAAGCTTTCAGCGTCTGTTGGCGATCTTATCAGCTCCTTTTGTGTCTCGCTGGAATCCAAGATGACGCACCGCCGCTACTTTTATCGTTCGGGGACTCTCTTGCGGGAAGGCATCATCAATATCAGTCAACCTGGAATCATGACTGACCTCACAGCTTGCAATGTGGAATTAGACCGTCGCATGTTCGACTTTCTGGTTAGTGATGATTGTATTGATGTTGCCTTGCGGTGTTCTTCTTCTCACTTTGCTTCTTATATGCATATATCCCTCAGGTGGCTCTTGACACGGAATTTGGTGAACTCGTGGACGGGTCGCACCTTTACCTCCCCGACGTGTCGTTCGACGATGTGGTGATCCCAGAGGAAACCAAGGAAAGGGTTCATGATATTGTCATGAATATGGACAAACTGCGAAAGGGAATTCGAGAGTATGAGGTGCAAGACAAAATCAGTTATGGGCTTGGTCAAGTTCTCTTGTTGTACGTGGCTGTTGCCTGTTCTTGCTTTTGGACTGAACTTAGTCTTCATCTAACTTGGCCTCATCTATCTCTAACAGTCATGGAAAACCTGGGACAGGAAAGACAATGTTGGCAAACGCAATCGCCAACAAAGCAAACAAAAAGGTCCTACTCGTGAATTTCCCCGCCTTGGGGGCGAATTCCGCCGGAGCGATCATCAAGATTCTTTTCCGAGAGGCCAGCATCAATAATGCGCTTCTCTTCTTTGACGAGTGTGAGGCAATGTGCCAAAAGCGCGATGAGATGGGGATCAACCGTACCGTGAACACCATCCTCACCGAAATCGAACGCTTTGAGGGCATTTGGTAAGAAGCACTTTCTTCTCGTTTGTTCAACACGACCGCAATTGCTAATTTGTCTTGCGGGACTTCACTCCACAGCATCATGGCGACGAATCGTCCTCTAGAGCTGGACGAAGCGCTCCATCGAAGGGTTTCTCTGGCTGTGGAGTTTCGCAAACCCGACCACATTATGCGAGAGAAAATTTGGAAGACTCTGCGACCTCCTAAGCTGCCCATTGAAGACGACGTTGACTTTGGGTTGCTTGCCCGGAAGTTTGAAATGTGCGGGGGCAACATCAAGAATTGCTGGATTTCGGCTCTTTCCATCATGATTCAGAACGAGGCATCCGCAATCAAACAAGAGTATCTCATGCAGGCTGCTGGTGAGCAAGTCATCGGACAGCTCTCCATGGACACGTTCGATCGCCGTATTGTCCCCACTCATGGCCTCGATTCGCTGGTTGTGTCCAATTCGGTTCGAGAGTGCTTAAACGGAATTGTCAATGCAAAGAAGGCTTCTTCTGTTTTATTTGGCACTTGGGGATTCGATACTCTTCACCGTGGAACTGTCGTAGGAGTTTCTGCCCTTTTTGTGGGGCCATCTGGCGTAGGCAAAACCATGGCTGCAGAAGCAATAGGGTTCGAAGTCGGCAGTCCCTTGCTGGTTGTCAATACTGCAGAAATAGTCTCGAAATGGGTGGGCGAGACAGCCAAAAACATTGAAGCAATTTTCGCCGAAGCCAAGAACAAAGATGCTGTCCTGGTGTTTGATGAAGCCGAAGGTCTATTCGGGGCACGCACAAGTTCCAACAACGGCTCAACGAGCCGCCACGACAACATGTCTGTGGGGATGTTGCTCCAGCATATAGAGCAGTACTCAGGTATTTGTGTGGTGATCACAAACATGAAGGATGCAATTGATGACGCATTCTTCCGCCGTTTCCGCTTTGTTGTTTCGTTTGAAGAGCCCGGTTTGGCCGATCGCGAAAAGATTTGGAAGGAAATGGTGCCAAAGGCTTGTCCTTTGCATTCGGATGTCTCCTTCAAGGAGCTTGCCTCTCGTTTCGAGCTCAAGGGTGGCGAGATCAGACAAGCGCTTATGCGTGCTGCGACCAAGGCGGCCTTGCGAGAAGACGAAGCCAAGAGGATGATCATGATGGAGGACTTGATCGATGCTTGTCGTCAGGAACAGGAAAAGAAAGGTGACGGTCGTGCGGTTGTCAATATGTACATGTAAAGTTGGTGCTGGAGTTGGCGCCGCGCAGCATGGTGGTGATAGCTGAGTAGGTTTGGGTTGGAATGCATGTAAAGATAAAGGGACAGTTGGCCTTTTTGTGGGTTCGCCTGGCATAGGCAAAACCATGGCTGCCAAAGTGAATGGGTTCAAAGTTGGCAGTCTGTTGCTAGTTGTCAATGTTGCGGAGCTTGTGTCAAAGCTTGCATCTCTAAGCGTCCACTTATTGTCGCGCTTGTGGGCTCTACCTACTACGATGTAGTCTTGTGCTGCCGTGGTTTCTGGATGGGGAGCCGAGCTTGGTGGTATGCGTACCGGTACCATCAGAAGCTTTTGCCTTTCGTTTCTCTTTGCCTCAAGTGCTTGGGTCTTTCCTTGGCGACGCGAGGATTCCACGAAACAGTAGCAGTGTAGTGTTCCTTCAGCAGTATCTACTCCAGTAGGAAACCCCATTGGTTTGGGCTTGACAGCCGATTTTTCTCGCTAGCAAAGTGCTGATGCATCTCTCCTCCATTCCAATTCCCCATGTACGCATATACCGGAAGGCAGAGCTGTTTACTTGGTGGACAAGTGGAACGTGGACATCGACGCAGACGAGCCCTTTCGCTGATAGCACGAAAGCTGGCGAGATATCATCAAGTAGTTATCCTCCATAATCTGATTGACAGATCATCTGATCATCTTGTATTCTCCATTAGTTCCGATAACCCCCATTGTTTGGTAACAGACCGAGATCTTTGTTCTGTTGTCCTGCGTTGAGACGGAAGGTGCTTTTGTGGGCTCTTTTACATGGAGGAAGGCAGTTAAGGAGAATTAGAAGGCATCCAGTGAAGCGGATGGTAATTAACTGTTAGCGAGGATCGTGCAGGCGTGTATATTTGCCCTCATGATTTACTGCCTCCAACGTCCAGTTTCGTGGTGAGAGCGACCTGACAAAAGAGAAAAATGAATGAACCATGGCATTCGTTCTTCTGGGTCTTCTTGGATCGTTGATGGTACATGTAGCAACAGCAGAAAACTATTATTTTGATATTGTACCAGATTCCTTTTCCTGTTCGTATGGGGCGGATGTTCGGCAGCGGCTGCAAAGCTTCAAGCTGTACTGCAAAGATTACCGGGGCTGTGGACGAGGAGCTGGAGTGTTGGCAGACAAGGGTAAGCAGTTGCGCCCAATAGGCGCACGCAGTCGTTTTAAAATTGCAGAAGACAATGTCTCATCTAACAGAACTTAAAATGTCATTTTGCTTTGGTTTAATCCACGGACTCAACAGACGAAGAAACGAGTCCATCCTTTGTCCATACCATTATTCATGGCTGCCATAACTTGGACCGTCGTTGTACCCAGACCGAATTCGACGGTCTTATCGAGTTATGTGAAACGTTGGTACCGGGTCAAGCGGCCGACGGAGACACCTTTTGTTCGCGACGGAATCGATTTGGGCTGACTCTGCCACAATTCCTGTACAAACCCTTGCGAACGAGTCTCAACGATGACGAATCATCGGTCCTTGTGAGCACCACGATTGATGGAGGGCATTTTTGTAGAGCCAACTACACGATAACCACCGAAGATGAAGAGTCCGCCATGATTTTGGAGTACACATCCGCCATTGTTCTGGGAGTTGCCTTCATGTTAGGAGTTGCTATGATCATTGCTCTTCTACATCAAAACAAGAAAGAGCTCAGGGATAGGGAATATGATAGGGAGCGTGAGCCCAACAGCAACTATCTTGAGATATCCTGGTCCAAACGAGGTGTCAAATAGGCAAATGAGGGGATCAAATGGGTGGAACTTTCTGCTTCGTTCTAGCAGACAAGGTTGACCTCTCAACGGGATCACTGAGAGGACCAAGTGTTGCAGGTTCAGAATGAACGCAACCTGCAATCAGCTTCCAAAATTGACCTCTCGTGAGGTTATCAAGGAACTACCAATTGTAGTTGTGTCAAGAGATCGGACACAAAGTCACCATGAGAGGTGTGCGTTTCACGACTTAGACAACATTGAAAATGGGAGCAAGCAGATAACCAAATCATCGCAGCCGACAAATGACACACAATTCACTTACATTTACAGGGATACTGGTGGTTACAAGGAATCCTGAGCTGAAGAAACTCAAAAGAAAACAGTTGTTGGCTTTGAAAGCTTGCCAACGGCACAGCTTGTGGCGAGGGATAGATCACAATTAATAGCTTTGTCCAGAAGCGGGTATCCGACAAGAGGATGATTGAATCATTCCTCAATTCCCTTCTTCCTCTCTCCTTGGAAGCTACCGGTACATGAAGTAGCCAGTAACTCACTTACCACTTCAAATCGAAGATAGAAATTGGTGGTAGCTCAAGCCCTTGCTCACCGTCTTTCGTGAGATCTCAATGGCAACGGTTGAAGATTCGACCATTCAATTGATCATTCGTTGGGTTGTCCCACGTGGCGTTCATACAGCTCCGCCGTTTTGCTCTGGAAGACATCTCGATCGATGACAACACGCTACCACGACGACGGTCTCATAAAAGTAACCAAGCGCCGCTGATGCCGCAGACAACCAAACAAGGAATCAGCAGTATCCAAATCCACCCTTCCTAATACCGTAGTGTTCAGCAACCATGGGACGTCGTGCGAAGAAGGCCCCAGTAAGTAAACGATCCAAGGGAATACAAAATGATGTCTTCTGCTTCTTCTTCTTGATTGCGTTTTTCTGCCATGCTAGAGGAAAAGACCGACCAGTACAAAGTTAGTTGTACTAGTATTACTAGAGATGGACCGCAGTGCGCCCTCGGAAATTTGACTCACCGTGTGTGCTCTGCTTGCCTTTCTCTCTTGTTGTTCACAACAACAATAGGTACAAACCAAGAAACGCGCTACTTTGGCCAAGCAATTCAAATGTCCCTTTTGCGCCAACGAAGAAGTGGTGGAATGCAAGATGGATTTCAAGGCATCCGTGGGGAGTCTGAACTGTCGCTTGTGCGCTGCTTCCTATCAGATGCCGATTCATCACTTGCATGAACCCATTGACGTCTTTTCGGAGTGGCTTGACGATTGTGAAGCCGCGGCCAATGGTCAAAGAACGGGAGAGGCGCCTCCTGCCGAAGCACCACGGTTCAATGACGAAGGGGATGAAGACGATGATGTCCCAGAAGCTGTTGAATTTAACGGCCGCAACAATAAGAAACGGCCCGCACAAGATACGGGCGCCAGGAAAAAGCAAAAGACGGGCAAAGCAGCGACAATTACCGATCTTGGGCTGGATGATTCCGATTCGGATGATGAGGATTAGTGTGCGTGTTCTTAATAGTACTTGATATGCAACAATATGCTTAATAATGTTGGGTTGTGGATGATTGGAGTCAATTTGATTTCAAGCTATATGCTCTGGGGGCTGTGGCAAGAGAATTTTGTTGTTGTTAAGCTTCTAATTGTCGATGATTATCAAATCTGTTGATGCAATCTCGTGCCCGCGGCGAACCTACCGTAGCTAGTTTGATGAACGTGCAGGTACAGTACAATCAATGATGGAGTGACATCACGATACTAGCTAGTACGCTCATGATTTTCTTGTTGCAAGTGGCAAGCTAGCTACTGATGGCTACTAGCTAAGAAACAGTACTACTCCTCTCTGTGATAACAGTTCTCAATTTCTTTTTAAACATTTTACAGACAACACCAAGCCAGTTACTGCTGCTGCAATTCGTGCACCTTCTTCCACAGTTCCTGCGCAAAGACGGGCGCATCTTCTTCCAACACGGGCTGTAACTCTTCCATCAACTTGGCTACAGTGGTTTGAGGGTCGAGCACCAATTTGAGCAAAAAGTCAATCAGTGTCGCTTCTTCCTCTCCCATGTACTGCTTGATTTGACTGGACACAAATGCCCGCAACGTGTCATGTGCCGCCGCTGGCAATTCCGGAAATGTGGCGGTGGGTTCCATACTGGGAAGCTCCGCCACACGAGCACGTTTGGCCGGTGGAGGAGGAACCGCCAAACCTGGTGGGGGAGGAGGTGGCAATCCTTCGGGCATGGGCGGTGGTAGCATGGGTGGGGGAGGCAAATTAGCGGGAACGCGTGGTTTGTTGCGCTCTTCTTCCACGAGAGGACGCAATCGTTCCTTGGCCGCCTGCACCTTTTGTTTGACAATTTCGGCACGGCGCTTTTTTTGCGTGGATTGTGTTTCATCCAGTTTGGTGCGGAATGCCTTGACGGCCGCAATGACCTGAGGAGTATTGAGGGGGTCGACATCGTCATCGTAGCCTCCACCGGCTGCTGCCGCTAATTTTTCCATATCCAATCCCCTGTCCCTGTTGGCTTGATTGTTGTTTGCCGTCAAGTCGGCAGGTCTAGGATTGTTGCTTCGTGTGACGTGATTGATGAACTGTTGCGAGAGTCGTTCTCCCAGAATCTTGGCCGTCTGTTCGTCAATTTTGAGGGGTGGCATGGGGATTTTAGGATCGTTGGGGACCATATGAAAGTTCATTTTTTCGTAGGCCGGTTTGTTCTTTTCCTCGGCTCCCTCCAGCAAGAGTGTCTTCATTTCGCGACAGGCGCAGAGCAACTTGAGGGCTCCATCGGGATGGGACATGGTGACCAGAGCTGTAAAGGTTTGATCCTTGTTCACTTCGACGTCATCTTTGGGTGGAGTTGGATGAAAGGCAATGTTCCGAGCAGATCCACAAGGATAGATAACATCACGAAGCGATCGATTGGAGTGCAGAAAATAAGGCATGTTGTTCAACAAGACCGCCGTGGAAAGAGTCACTCGCGGAGGTGGCACCACAGGTTTCGGTTTCATTCCTGGTAGAGGTAATCCAGGAGGGGGCAATCCAGCAGGTGGAGGAGGAGGACCAGCATTTGGAAGTGGTGGCGGTGGAAGGCCACTAGGTGGTGGGGGAGGAGCTTGTAGGTTGGGGGGCGGAGGTGCCGATGCCATGGTCAAGACAATAGATGCTGATATTACTACAGAGACAGTGAGATTGGTTGGAGAGATTGATTTGCAGTGATCGCGACAATCTTTAAAAGCGACAAGGTCAAGATCTTGCTGCTACACTGCGCGCTGTACTGCCGGACCTGGAGCAATAACAATAAATTAAATGTATTGATTTTTGGAAACTTAGGCAAAATACGATCGCAGCTAGCTAGCCAAGCTGGCTTGCTGGCTTGATTTGGGGGACAGAGCTGCCGGGTACAGATAGATACGTAGTCTAGTTACGCCCCATTCTCCCCATAGTCCCCCCCAACCTCTTGTAACTTCCATTTCATATTTATGGGAGAAGGGACATGAGAATGGTTTGTATCCAGAAGCATCAAGAGACCCCAATACAAGTGATTAGCATGAATGGGATATACGGCAAAGCAAGGCAAGATAAGATGAAGAAAGGAGAGGAGAAGCCAGGCCAGGGTGAGCGTGAAAGGCTGGAAAAGAAGTTAATTCCAAGGAACTGAATTGGACCTGAACATCTTACTTTTGATGAATCAAAACAAAAAAAGGCCTACTGAATGGGCAGCTCAACCAGTCATGCTAGAGGATGTGTTGCTTTTAAAATATATAACCTATCTCACTTTATTAAAATGGATATTAGGGTAGCTTTGGGGTAGCATGGATGGGCAGCTTTTTCTAGCGGAGCTAATCATGACTATCGGTAGCATAACGAATGGGTATCTTAGGTGCTTCTTGGGTATACCTTTTTTGATGGTTAGCTTGGGCAAAATGGTAGGGTAGCATGGGTATACAGATTAATTAGTCTAATCAATACCTTCATGGATATCTTGACACGGCCAACAAGGCCAACCAGATACCCAATAAATCTAATGAAGCAGGTACAACATGTAGCTTGGAGAAGCACATGATAACATACCGGTAGACTAGGTAGCAAAGATCGGGCGAGGGTTTATCGTCGTAACCACGAAAGGTCCGGTGTGGCGTTTTTTAGAAATTTTAGTCGAGTGAGTCATGGTGCCCCAACCCTGCAGGCTCTCTGTGGTGTCGAAGGTTACAGCCAAGCGGCCATGATGATGGAGGCAGCACTACAGCGGTAGCAAGAAGAAGCTATCTTTTTCAGGCAGGGACCGACAGACGCCAAGAGGAAATCCTACCTCTAACCGACCAATAGCAAAGCAAGGGAGTGGGCTGCTCATTCATCCTTTGGGCTCCCCACTTGCATGCATGGATGGCGTCGAAATATTCGAATCTTTGCTTTCCGTCCAAGCCAACGAAGACCTAAGCCAAGCCAGGAATAGCGTCGATCGTATTGTGTCCAACCCCTCCGCTCCGATCTTTAACTTCCACCAAGAGCCAACAAACAAGAGTTCAGGAGTTGACAGCCTAGTTGACTGACTGATTGATTCCTATTATTGTCCAGAGATTGTCTGCTACGATTGATTGACATCTTATCTGAAGCTACCAGAAGTGACTTTGCTCTTGATACCTAGAAAGGCCAACGAGTCGAGCAACCATGGGCTGTGGACCTTCCAAACCCGGAACTCAATCCACTCTGGACGAACACGAGGCGTTCGGCAACAACAGTAGCGGAAATTCCAATTATCAGCCTCCCGCAGCGCAATCCACTGGTGGAGCCGGAAAGACCAACCAGAATGAAGGCAACCCTAGCACGGCGACACCCAGCAATGGCGCGACACCGCCCCCTTCAGGAGCTCAGCCACAACAGCAGCAACAACAACACACGCATCCAGCTGCTCCACAGGCTCCAGCCACAACAGCTCCACCTGCTCCTGCTCCAAACAACAACAACAACATGCCACAATCTACTACTGCACCAACTCAGCAAACGGCTGCTTTGGGGAGTATTACCAATGCAGCTCCAGCATCGGCTTCGTCGTCGGTTCTCAATGGATCTTCCAACGCGCTACACATGTCCACAGAAACACAATGGAAAGATCTATGGGAAGCCCTCAGTCCCTTTCTGTTGGATCCAGCGGATGTCATTGCCGTCATTTCCGAAGTCATGAATGACACATCCAATCGACTCTTATCCACCGATATCAATTTCATTCTCCGTAGAGTCAGACATGTCGTACGAAACCTGCCTCGAACCAATGGAAACTTTGGACAAACCAGAAAAATACAAGTATTCTCCTCCAGTACCAACAACAATAATTCACTCGAAGCCGAAGGCAGAGCCACTGCCGAACGACATCATCTACTCAGTGCACATGTCTTTCGCAGAATTCTAGGATCCCCCATGGACATTCCCAAACCGGATGGCAAAGAAGCGGCGTCGGTCTTTCCGGATCCCATTGAAGCGGCGTATACACTCTTGCTGCATTTGTCTTCGGAACCACTCTGTGAACGAGCATCGGCCATTGCCATCAAGACGGCAAAGAACGCTGGACTCGAAATGGATGTCAACAAGGGACGCAACTTTAGTCAACGACCCAACCCCGTGGGAATATCCAAAGAAGAAATGCCAGATTTGCCGCCGGGTATCACGGTACAATCGTATGCCTTTTTACTCGCCCTGGCGCTTCGTAAGTTCACAATCGCTGTTCAGTTTTGATGACTGTTGCAAGACGAATGTGTCCACTCACACAGATAGATGATGCTGTTGCTTCTTTTATGTATGTTTCTCATTCATTCCGTAGGAGGGACCCGAAAGCAACGAGTGCAGCTATTATTCTATTTGTTACTCCCACCCAAGACATTGGAAAAGTTCCTCGCCAATCATCCCGCAGGAGGAGTGCCGTTTTGGTTGTTGGAAGTCGGAACGGATATTGTCTTTTCTCTCGCGTCCATGGCGCACTATCATCTATACGGGCACTCCTTCTTGCCAGCCAATTATTTAGAAGAGCCACCACAGAAACCATTCGCATTTCCTACATCCGGTCAACCCATGCGATTGAAAGTTTCCGCTAGTGGGACACAGGAATTCTTGGGGTGGCTCATCAAGCCACCGCCCAACTCCAACCGATCCATGGACTCTCCACAAAACAACCCGTCGCCCAGTCGCAGAATTCCACCCAACCGAAGAGGCAGCAACAACAACCTCACCGACGGAAACAACAATGGCGATGCCAATGATCTAGCGCTGTTTGGAAAAACAGAAGTCGTCGAACGATTGCAGGAAGTGGCCGATGGAAAGCAATTGCCAACGTCATCGAAAGACAAGGAAGATCCAGCCATGGAAGTTTCCAGACGAAAATATCTCATGGCGCAGCAACCTGTCAATGGTAGCATGGTCTACTGGTCCATGGAAGACTTTTCCCATTGGACCGAGGAAGCATTGGATGATTTGGCTCTAGATACGGTCATGCATAAATTGTTCGCGTCAGGAGTGCTACCCACCTACTCGATGGAAAAAGAGCTGGTCGAGACTCGTTGGATGGAATGGCAATGTACGGCCAGAGACTACTTTTTGGCAATGAAAGAAGGCGAAGCCGACGATGGATCCACGCTCGATTATTTAACTTCCTCGGTGAAGAGGTTGATAGATTCCTGCCAAAATGGAGTTGCTTCGCCAACCGCCAATGGTAAGAAAAGCAACAACAGAGACCGAGTCTGGGGGGGAATCGGTGGTTTTGACGGGCGGGGAGCTATGGGCTTCGGAATCATGTACTGCATTGATAGGAAATGGTGGGATGCCTGGGAAGCCTACGTTGGTTGGACTTTTGACGGTGCACCCGTGAAGAAGCGATCACTGGTGCGGCCTGGAGAACTTTCCACCGAATCCCTTCTGGACCGCGATCCTGATTCCAGCAATGGCGGCCTTTATGGATCCTTCGAGGCCATGAAGGAAGAGCTGAAGCGGGACGCGGACTATGTGTTGGTACCCCAAGGAGTCTGGGATGTCTTGTACGAACTCTACGGAGGAGGTCCGCCCCTTCCTCGACCGACTCTGTCCCCCGAAAAGGCCCACGTTTCCGCAAATGTCGACGAAGAGAGTTTTGAAGCGACATTTAAGAGAGACGGCAGCGCCGATCCCGACAAACCATTTGATGAGATCAATGTTGACCAAGCGACCAAACAGAATACAGTACTGAGAATACCAAAATCGCTCCGTGTTGCTCTGCACCCGTGGATCATTCACGTGCATTTATGTGATCCCCAACAACCCTACCGACGAGGCGATGTTGGGCCTCTCTCCATTCGAATTATGGCTTGTCCTGACGAACCCCTGTGGAGATTGTTCGCAGAAGCGATAGTTCGTCTTCCTCTCCAAAACCTCAAAGCATACAACACGGACGGACGTGGGCGAGCTCGATTGTGGATAAAGACAACACCGACCAGTCCCAAGGATCCGCTGTCGCGATATGGCCCCTGGACGCTGCTGTGTAAGAATCGCTACGCCAAGTTGCCAATGGTGAACTACTCGGTGGAGCTGGAGGAACACTTTAATGAGTTGAAGGAAGATTGGGAAGCGTACGCTGATAAGGCTTCAGTTGAAGGCGCGTGTCTCTCGGATGACGACCAATTGATGCTGGAATGTGCCATTATCAATAAGAATGGCGATTTCATGTGGCCGAGAGAAGCGGCGGCAAAAGCTGGCAGAGTACGTCGTTTGGCGGACGAAGACATGAAATTCCGGCAATTGCTTCGTGGAATCGATGAAAACGGCGAACCTTTGGAAAATCCCCCCAAGCTTGTTGGCATGACAGTAGACGCAATGGATTCGTCAGGCAGGTGGTATCAAGTGGAAATTCTCAAAGTGGAAATTGTCTCCGTGGAAGCAGATGGGGGCGACGATACCGAGTCTGGCGAAGGGGAACAGGGAGAAAGCAAACTAGTAAAAGTCGATTTCACCGAATTTGGAGGACACCTGGAGAATATTGACATTGAATCTGATCGCCTAGCAACAGCAGGCAGATTCACTCTTGGTCGACCTGATGAAAGTCCAACTTCGCAAGGGCGCTCGAACAGTACCACGTCAAACTCGCACGACACAAAGGCAAAACCGGTGGTTACTGCGAAGAAAAGCAACGCGGATAACTTCTCCGAGAATGGCAAAGTGTGCTCGTTTCCTGGGTATGGAGCATGTGGACTCGCTAATCTTGGAAACACTTGCTACATCAACTCTGCGATTCAATGCATCAGCTACATGCCGCTTCTTCGGGCGTACTTGCTCAGTGCGCAGTACAAGGCTACCGGCGACCTTAATCGGGACAATCCATTCGGCACCGGAGGAAAGCTACTGGAAGAGTTCGCGGAATTGCTGCGGCTCATGTGGAGCGCTCGTCACGGAGAGAAATCCCCAACACGTTTCAAATCGCAGCTTGGAAAAGCCAACTCTCAATTTTTGGGTGCCGATCAACAAGACGCTCAGGAGTTTCTGAACTACATGCTTGACAAGGTGCACGAGGACAGCAACAAAATAAAGAAGAAGCCTTACGTTCTGGCTCTGGAAGACGATTGGGTGAAGGTGACAAGGTTGCCTCGAGTCGGGGACGAAGCTTGGAGAAGGTGCGGAAACAAACTGGCCACAGTTTCGCGCAACTGCCCTGTATCAACTCACAGCTTTCTCTCTTCCTCCATAGATTCTTGCGTCGGGATCGGTCCATCATGGCAGATGTCGCGATGGGCCAAGTCCTAAGTACTACGACGTGCCCCGTGTGCAATTTTTCCAGCCGAAGCTTTGATCCATTCAATCTACTATCGATCCCCATCCCGACTGTAGCTGATGTTGTTTTCCAATGCACGGTTATTCGAAGAGCGACAACTTTCAATTGCCCTTGGATTCTCAACAAACCCAGGAAGGGAGACAAGCGACGATCGCGGTTCAATTTCACGTTTTCTGCCGCGGGCTCTTCGCCACCGTCGGAACAATTCGTCGCGGAACAGTATGTCATTGCAATGTCGAGGCTTGCTGACAGTGGTGACCTACGACTTCAAATCCAAAACATTTGTGGAATTCCCGCTGAAAACCTTCGGCTGGGCCGTTCTGAAGAAGTAATAATACATGCCGATGCCGAATCGGTGGTTATGCGCCAGCAGAAAATAATTCCATTGACTGACAAGGAGGGCCCCTGCAGCCAGATTGCAAAACAACGACCATCTGCCGACGACAGTGCAACCGTTCCTACACAAATCATTGCCTTTGAAACGACTCTAAAGGGGAGGCCGCCGGAACAACCCAGTGAAGGCAAGACTGATAGCGCAGGGGAGTCTGCAGAAGAGGAGGACGAAGAAGACGATCCCAAGCATTCCCCTGGCGCGCCTTCTTCTTCGGAACTGAGGGATCTGGAGAAACAGCTGGAGGTTTACGGTGACGAGAAGGAGTGCAGGATATATGATACAGACCCTTTTTTGGTTGCGAAAGCCGTCTCCAGAAGCTTGTGGCCACGTTCGGAAAGCGAGCTGAAGCTTGGACTGAGAGTCGATGCCATTGACCATCGCGGCAACTGGTTCCCCGGCAGCGTTGTGGAACTCGTCGAAGGCGTGCAGAACCCCAACGAAAAGGCCCCAGCCGACGAAACTGCTTCCATGACAAAGGTCCGAGTTCATTTCGACAACTTTTCCACCAAATGGGATGAATTGTATACCATCAATCATTTCAGGGAAGGCAAAGTCAGGCCACTGTATTCACATTCATCGCGCAGAGCCAAACCGACAGAGTTTATTGTTCATCATCGATTCACCGACAACTCTACCAGATTGTCCAATCTTTTCGGTCAATCCTTCTACGTGCAGTGCCAGAACGAATGGAGTACGGCGAGGGCTGGAGCTCACATCTTGGCGCAGGCAACAAGATTCCTTCAACGAAGCTCAGATTGGTCAGGCCCCATTGATCTTGACGATCCTGGTGCCATCGAACGTGACGCAAAAGTCCAGCGACTGTACGAGCGAACGCACAGCTCCATTTCGGATTTGATTGATCTCCTGGTGGACTGTGACAGGGAATATGTGCGGCTCGCACTGGGCATCTCAGAGCACAACTCGGAAGACCAAAAGGCTGAGCCGTACAGAAATCCGACGTTTGATGCAACAATCTTATCAACGGCCCTTGTGAAGAAAGTGGCGAATCTGCTCCACCGTCTCCCATTCGAGGTTCGTGTCTGCACGATCGAGTCAACCCAAGGCAACAAGCCTGGAGCAGCAAATGAAGAAGTGAACTACCCATTCTCCTTGATGCGGACTATTGGGAACTACATGAACGCTCGACACGCAGTTGTCCTACAATGGAAGGAGCCACCATCCGACAAGAAGAGTGGCACACCGTCGAATTACTTGAATGCACCCGTCATGTATGTTGAGCCGAACATTGCAATCGACAGGGCCAGCGCCGAAATCCTAAAGAGCAAAGAAGAGGCCAGAAAGAAGGCAGCGGAGAGTCGACCAGGCAGCGGTGGACTGCACCTTGGAGTATGCCTCAGCGAATTCTGCAAAGTGCAACAGCTGTCTATCGTTAATGATAACTGGAGGTGTCCTCGATGCAAGGAGTTCAGAGAAGGCAAGCAAAATCTTGATCTCTGGAAGCTGCCAGACTTGCTGACCTTTCACATCAAACGCTTCAACTGCTCTGCGCGGTGGAGGGAAAAGATTTCCACCAAAGTGAACTTCCCGCTGACGGGGTTAGATATGAGCGAATGGTGTCACGACGAGTCCCCGGCAGTACATGGTTCAACGGAGTCCAACGTCTATGACTTGATTGGTGTTATGAACCACTATGGAAGCATGACAGGAGGACACTATGTAGCGGTGTGCAAGGCCACGGCGTGCGGGAAAGATGGAAGGGAGGAAGTGGCGTACAACTTCAGCGGTGCCGGCGCTAGCAGCCTGGAGGTGGAAGAGGACGCTGAAGCTCCAACTGGATGGCGCATAGGTCGACAAAAGGCGGAGGTTGTGAATCAGAACAAAGTAGCAGCTGGCGTGAGCGCCAAGGCTGTTGCGGAGTCTGCTGAGCCCCTTTGGTTGCAATTTGACGACGATTTGGTGGAGCCTGTACCGCCTCGCTATGTTGTATCGGAAATGGCATATGTGTTGTTTTATCGACGGAGGCGACTGACCCCGTCGAACATAGCTAAGTACAGTACTTTAGAGTGAATATTTACTTTTTTTGAGCCAATGATCTATTGGTTTGTTGAGGCGAGACAACATACGGTAGCCCTAAATAGAGCGGGGATAGCAGAAGCAAACCAAGCTGCTTTTGTACCGCATGTGCTTAGATTCTTGGTGGTAGTTGGATCGAACTGAGCAAAGCAACGGCGAGCTCAGGTACAGGGTCAGTGGGGTTGGACTGAGTCGAATCTTCATTCAATCGAATCATTGGGGTCGTTGCTTGGGTGCACGCCGGGCTACCGTGTTTGCTGGCCCCTGTGATCAGATAGATGCTAGATTTATTCTGGCTGACTGGTACGTAGATAGACCACTCTGAGAGAAGTGAGAAGTAGAATGATAATCAGATTCTGTATCTGATCGAAGCTTGCAAATCTTTCTCGGTCACTGGTCAGTGGCAAGATTGTGTAATACCGTAATAATTACTTTTGCTGTTTCAGGTTACTGGTAGAGTTCCAGGAAAGGATTATTGGTAGTGCCGACGTGCCAACAGGAGAAGGCACAATTGTTTCTATCTGCTTAAAGATAAGGTATCTGGCATAGATAGCTTCATTAAACCATTTGATTTTCAATTGAGAATTGAGGGCTACTTCTAAGGGAACATGATGTGTTTGGGCCATTATCATTCTTGTTTGTCGAATTGTCGATTGTACTAGTACACTAGTACAGAACTCGCCACAATGCCACAATCCTGCTTGGGCACAGCAGCAGCGCAAGCTTTTCTTCACAGACGCAAGTTGGAACAAACAAGTCTGGGCCTTGTATATAAGATAGATGCTCAGCAGTGATTAGCAGCAGTAATATTCATAGCTTACTCGTACCGTTCTGTAGTGAACTCTGTCCAATCCAATTTCCAGCTAATGCATAGATAGCCAGAGTGCAGTATCTGAACTACAGTAAGTCTTCTAGGTAGTTAGCTAGGAAGGCAAGGCTGGGCCTTTCCATGCTTTTATGCTCCTACCAACCAAAACCTGCAAGCTGAAAGCAGTCTACGACCCGCCTCGTCCAGAGTTATTTTCATTTGCCACTTGTTTTATGGAAGCTTTGTGTAAGAATGCTATGGTACTTGTATCTTCTCTTCAATAGCTAGCTAGCTAGTACGGCGTGGGCAAGGGATGCAACTGGCTGAGTGCTTGCTGTTGCCACCGTGGTGGCAGAAGTCTGGGCAGCGTCTAAAGTAATCTCATTTTCTGCCTGGCAAATCTGAATACAGGTGCTTGCCTGTGGGCGCTACCATTGTAATAAGAGGCTCCAACATTCTGAGATCTGCTACCGGCACCAGCAGCTCTACCGTAAAAGTACAGCGTAACTACATGTACTTTTAGAGTGGCAAGAAGAAAAAAGCTTAGAAACTACATGTACATTGTCTATTCTAACAGGTAATGGAGCTTCTTACTATCAGGGTAGAAGCCGAAACATGGTATCATTTGCACACCTGCGTGTACAGTACAGGAGTTCCAGCGAGATTGCTAAAATGACTGTCCTCATGGTCCGGACTCTTTTGTTATCGAATCGAATCCGAAAGTGATCAAAAGCTCTTCCATTGCTGCTGAGTACTGGTACGGTAGCACCTTTCTACTAGTCATCGCCGAGCTTTCTTTTCTTTCACCATTTCGGGTGGCTTCCGCTAGCTAGCCACTGTAGCGTTGTGTCATCTGTTTTCCCAACACACCATTTGTATATTCTCGGCCATGACAAACGAAACGATTCGAATGGATGATCTGGAAGAAGACGACTATGACGGCGACGGCCTTGCGCCGTTGAAGAATGGGCTCAAGAATTCCCTGACGAGAGGGTCCAGCAAGCGCGGGTTGGGGTCGAGCGAGATTCTCAAGGAGGAGTTTGTGTACGACTATGATATCAAGACGTACGCTCAAGAGAAACCCATGAGAGAATGGAGTTTCCGGCTACCCTTCTTAGCCTCTCCGATTGTGATGAATCCAGTCACTTCTATGGTTGGCATTATCCCGTTGTGGGCTATGACGATTTGGTGCATGGTGAGTCGAGTCGAGTCGATTAGTTTCCCAGAACAATGGATGGCATTCAGCTGACTTACTGTTGATCGGTCGTTACGTATAAAGGTGGAACCCGAAAACGCACTGGAGGTTCTGCTGAAAATGAGGGGGAAGATTGCCCTCTACTTTACATGTAAGAAGAACGGTGGCTTTGGGTTGGTCTCCTTATGGTTAGTGGATGCATTCTTACCCTCCTGCTACCTTTCATGCCAGGGTTTGTCGTGATCACCAAGCCCATTTCGTTCCTCTTCATGATGTGGATCACCTACAAGTATGGTCACATCAAGGTGAGTCAGTCTGGTGCAGAGTTGGCTTATTGCTGACCTTAGCCCCGTCATCTGATCTGTGTTGGTTCCGACGGCATATTTAGTTTGGGGGGCAACATGCCAAGCCAGAATTTGGAAACTTTGAGTACTTTGTCATGATCTTTTGCTGTGGGGTTGGGGTGGGACTCTTCTACTATGGTGTCAGCGAACCCCTTTGGCATCAGTCTAGCCATTGGTTTGCCAATGCGGGATATCGTTCGCAAGACGAGTTGGATCAGATGGCTCTCCTTCTTACCGTATATCACTGGGGATTTCATGGATATACCAGCTACCTGGTGGTGGCTGTGGCATCTTCCCTGGCGTCCTATCGTTTCCGATTGCCCCTTATCTTTCGGTCTACGTTTTATCCTATCCTTGGAGAGTATACTTGGGGCTACATGGGTGATTTGCTCGACGGTATGAGCATTGTCGTGACAATTGCGGGAGTCTGCACGTCTTTGGGACTTGGGTCAATTCAGCTGGCAGAGGGAGCCAAAAGGATCGGGTTGCTTGATGCCGGGCTGACGGAAGACGAAACGACCACTGCTCAGATTCTCATTATTTGGCTGTTAACTGTTTTGACGACTGCCAGTATCTTGATGGGGCTGAGCATTGGGTTGAAGTACCTTTCTTTGCTTGGTGAGTAACTCGAGACCTCATTGGAAACAACAATTAGCAACAGAGTGTGTACTGAACAGCTCCTCTCTTCCTATAGCATTTGGACTTGGCTCGTTCTTGACCCTAATGGTCTTCATGATGGAACAATCTGCCTATCTACTCAACCTATTTGTACAGACTGTGGGCCAATACCTACAATACTCAATATTTCAGATACCCTTCCACACGGATGCATTTGGTCAGCTCAGACCTGGGGAGGGAAGGGCTACGGACGGCAAGGCGGCTGCGACTTGGTGGTATGATGCATGGACAATATTTTATGTGAGTGGCGACAATATAATATGCTTGCTGTAGCATTCTCGATGTTTGACTACGCGCGAACTAACATTTCATTTCCCTGTGCTGCTGGTCCCTCTGCATGTTATTCGATCTATGAATAGTGGAAGTAAGTGTTCCAGTTACGAAGTAGACGTCGTCAAGGCTTGGCACATGATTTAAAGCTAACGTATTCTTTTGTTTCCCAGTTGGTGGGTCGCCTGGGCTGTGTTTGTGGGCCTTTTCATCGCTCGCGTATCCTACGGACGCACATTGCGAGAAGTCACCTTCTACTCAATGGTTATGCCAGTGACATACTGCCTTACGTGGTTCACAATTTGGGGTGGTGCGGGGCTTCGCCAAGCTCGTCAAGCGAACGAGCTTGAGCAACTTGGTGGGACACACTTCAACGATACAATGTACTACCAGTCACCGGACAACATCGCCTGCTATGATGTGCCGCAAGAAGAGGTAATAGTGGATGGTGAAGTAGTCTTCACAAACTACGTCAAGGGGGTGACTCCAGTTTGCAAGTTTGAAAGTACAGATGCGGCGACTTTCAACGTGCTTTTCTCTTTCAGCTTTCCAGAGGACTGGAATTCGGGATTCGGCTCTTTCCTATCTATTCTCCTCGTCCTTGCTCTTGGTACTTACTTCGCATCCTCAAGTGATTCAGGCAGCTTGGTCGTTGACTTCTTGTCGGCAAATGGACGTCACGACACCCATTGGATTCAACGGTTATTCTGGTCGCTCACCGAAGCTAGCGTTGCAACAGCACTTCTGTACACGGGGGGGTCCAACGCGCTTTCGGCCCTACAGGCCGCTTCCATCATCTGTGGTCTTCCATACACAGTGATCATGACATATTTGCTCCAATCAATCTACGTTATGTGCGAGCAGGCGCTCGACGAGGACAAAATACACTTTTCACTTCCAAGACGGCAGTGGATCATGCCGAGCTACGGTGGTGTATTCAACGTATTCGAGTTTTTGGCATCCTTCGGCAAGGTGCACACCGCCCGCGTTGTTCTGGGGCTCGACCTGCCATCTACCTTCCAAACGACAGAATTTTTCACGAGTCTCTTCCTGCCTTTCCTTCCGCTGCTAGACATCGTCTTTACGATGCATCCCAAACAAACCAGCAAATTTTCAAACACTCTGTTTGTTGCCAGCTACACTGCTCTCTTCTTTTTCTGGGTTGCGGCCTTTATCGTTGCTGGTGCTGTACACTCATCCATGGTGTATTGGGGCTGGGCAGCATTTCTCATAAACGCTTTCTTGCTAGCAAGCGTCAAACACAAGGTTCGGTGTCGACGGAGGCTGCATGGCAACATGTTCGGAGATTTGACGTCCTGCTTCCTTCTTTATCCACAAGTCCTCACACAGATCCGAATTGAGCTCCTCGAGTACGGTGCCGACCAAGTGGAGAAAGCGCCACAAAAAAGGAAAAGTGGCAAGAAGAGTGCAGCACGCAAACAGCCGCTAGCCAATTCGTCTGTGCGCAATAGGCGACATCGAAGGCGACTGGGAGAACACTCGACGAGATCCGATGCTCCACAAAGCGACGATGAATTTGAGGACGAAATCACAAACATCAACCAACGATCCGAACATAGCACGTCTTCAAGGAGGCGTCGCAATAATTCTAGGAATCGACTGTCACTCGATGATTCGGACAGAGATTTACAGGACACACCTGTGTCGACCAAACCGATCTATCGAGGCGCAGAATCATCTCCTGAGGAGGACTCCGCAGACGGACTATCGTTCAACAGCTCTCACAGCTCTCTTCTTGGCCGGCGTACGACCCCAGTTTCCTCGGATCCAGCACCTAGACCAACTACTCCAGTGTCGTCCATGCATCAAACACCAGTTACGTATGCTTCAAGACCCACAACGCCTGTTTCATCCATGCCCACAACTCCAATTTCCTCCAGGTCGACTACTTCGAGGATGACCGCTGACGACGTACGAAACAGGTTGCGATCACACCAGCAGCAAAGGCAGAACTCGAGAGCTCTGCCCCAGAGCTTGCCAGCGGAGCCCCCGCTGGCATCAAACGACGTGGAAGTGTAAATAACCGATAGTCAATCAAAACAGGGTGGGGCCGAATGGGTAAACCTGTACTAAATATGCTTGTTTCAGTTTTGAAAGAACTGTAGTGTGTACCTTCGAAAGCTAGCTACCTATGGTATTTCGGGCATTCTTTTTGACAAAAGTAAAAGTGTGCGCCGGAAACCGACCTTTCGAAATCTGAATGATCAATCGATTTGATTCGATTTGATTCGATTTACCTCCCTTCAAATTCGAATGCATTTGAGCCCGAAATTTGAAGGCCAAAAATCACGATGAAGAGGCTAAGAACTTCAACGAACGGAACCGCCACACAAGACTCGACTCGACTCCAAAAATTTGCCTTGAAAGGTCAGAGGTTTGCTTCCAGTTCTTCAAAACCTGGCAAGTTGTGGTCCTGGAAGAATCTTCCATCAGAGACTGTGGAGCCTGATACTGTGCATGGGCGGCTAGTTGGTTGGGCTAGAATCTGGGGTTGTGAAGGAACAAAGACATGATGAAGCAGTGAAACTTGGTTTCGTCAAGGATGCGTCATTTTCCGAGAACCACAAATCGATTGATAGGAGCAACGCTGCTGTTTTGGGTCAGTCTGAATGGGTATCTTCTCTTGAATCAAGCACAAGAGCAAACGGGCCAAGATTCCTGTACAATTTGTCAGGATGGATCTTTCCCAACCAATCCAGAAGGCATTGTTACCGTGGATAGTGCTACCACAGTACTGGACTGGAAATGTGGAGATCTTTATGAGGTTCTACTGCTGTTGAGTGTTCCAGCGGATGGAGAACAATGCACATCACTGCAATTTAGCGGATTTGTGGAATGTGGCTGTCCCAGCTTTGACAATGAGGAATATTGCGCACTTTGTCCAGCTAGGTTTCACAATATTCCTGCTCCCGAAACAGCCATCCCTGGCTATGATGGTGTCACATGCGGCCATATTTTGTACGCCCCGAAAAACAACGAGAAAGCAATTATTCCATGCGATCAATTGGATCGGTACACGCGGCTATGCAATTGCCCTGATGAGTGCTCGCTCTGTCGATACAGTGATGAATATCCCACTCATCTCAATCGAAGCATCCCGTACCTCACCGAAGGCAACAATCATTATGCATGTGGTGACCTAGAGGCAGCAGCCAGGCTTCTTCCCAAAGATGAGGGTTGCGAAGCCTTATTACAGCCCCCAGTTGCAGTCGATGTTCAAGGGTATTGTGGATGTCCCAAGACGGGTCCAATCAACACGTGCTCTCTTTGCCCTCATCCGAATCAGACCATTCAATTCCCCGATCTCGTGGTTCCCAACGTGGGAGGGCTCAACTGTATCGAGCTAGAGGAATATCTATCATATGTTACAGATACGAATGCGTGCAATGTGATTGCCGCCAAAGCCGAAGCATGTTGTACTACTCTGGAACCATGTCCAATCTGCGCGGACGGAGGCAACGGTTTGGGTGCGGCCAAAGTCTACAAACCGTATGGGCTGGGGTGTGATTTGATCGGACAAGCATCTCACTATGGCTACCCCGACTTGCCTTGTGCTGTCGCTCAGGAACGGTTCCCCTTCTTTTGTCGTTGTGTCGATGTGCTGCCGACATGTACCATATGCAAGTTGAATCTGGTCCCTCCCTTCCCGAACCGCTTCATTCCACTCCTGAACATGACTTGTGGTGAAGCCAATGACTTCGTTTCTCTCCGGACTGAAGCTGAATGCCCCGCAGCCCTAACAGCGTTCTCGGTGGATGTGGCTGCGTTCTGTGGCTGCAGCGAAGATACTTCTCTCAGGGGCCGATGTGCATTTTGTCCTCCTGGAGAAGCTTTCATTGTAGACTACATCGAGCAAGGGGGGCTCACTGAAACCACTATCTTTGGTCAACCTCATACTCATGAAACTTGGTGTCAAGAGCTGGAAAACCTTGCACTGTATGTGGTAAAGACAGACCTGTGTCTTGCGGTCCAGGAATCTGGCCGCGAGTGTTGCCGACCATTGATTACAGATGCTCCCACGTTTGCATCGACGTTCCAACCCACTGTTTTCTTTCTTGACGACAAGAATGGAACACTAGATGGTGGCAACAACTCTTCAGATGATCTGAACAACAACAATACCATTGCGCCTACTATCCCAGTAGAGGAAGAAAGCGGAGGAAGCACCCCTATGCCCAAAGATATTTGGTGGTGCTGGGTTTTGATTTCGGTTGGGTGCCACATTCTACTTTGACAAGCAACGAGCGTTTCTACCAGGTACTAGATAGTTGGTTGCAAAACGTTCTTTGTTGACTTGTACTTCGATCAATCACGGGGTATCGGGAGCTTGAAAAGGTTCAAGCAAGTTGGATGGAAAGATGAATGAATGATTGGAACAGAAGTATTAGTAATATGGATGCGTCTGCTTAGATTTTGGCTGGGTTTCTAGCTAGTAACACCATCGTTTTTAACAAGTGCTACTACAAAGATCTCCAGCAGGAAGATGCGTTGGAAGCATTGGCTGAAAACCCCATAGCTTACGCCCGGGCTGCCCTTCGGCAACAGCTGTGGTAAACCAAGACAAAGCGAATGATCGATCAATCCCTCGCCTGCAGCTGGTGTACTGGTTGCTGTTCTTGCACGAGAAAATGCTTTTGCCATGCTCGTGACGAAAGCTCTCTTCACATCAGTCACTGTTGTCTTCGCAAATGGACCAATTTCTCTACTATTGGTTGCTTTGGTGGGTGTCGTGATTCGACACGTTATCTCAATGCTGGAACAGTGCCGCCATGAGAAGGCTCGACAGCAGAAACACCATGAACGAAAGACATGTCGACAAAGCGATTTCGGGAGGTTCTGCTACAATTCGCCAATCGCTAGGAACTACAGCAGATGAGCTTGCTAATGGACCGTTTGATGCTGACTGTGCTGTGGAACACAGCCTTATTGAAGAGGTAGAGCAACTGCTGTCACCGATGATAGATCAGACATTTCTTTGTGTGCTCGTGCTGGTCTGCCTGCCCCAGCTGCCACTATTGGTTGTTGGTCAGCCAGAAAAGGGGAGATATTCTGTCGATCAGATCGCGGCGGTGTACCATAACGCCAAGCCCGCTTCAGTTTTGCTTTAGTTTCCCGCCAAGCCTCGTCGATGACGTCGTTGCGAAGAGAAAGATGTTTAACAGAAGGTCTGCGGAAGCGCAAGCACCTTCAACATACCAAAGACTGCCAGTCTTGCTCCATGAAAGCAGCGTGGTTCCTAGTGTTGGCCCTGCTATGCGTGCGAGACTGAACAAGCAATGCTCCAAACCAAGTAATGTTCCTTGTTCCTCTTTGTTGACGGCACCAGTGGTCTGCGTTGTCAACCCAGTGGCTAGACAATGGCTCGAAAGCGCGTGAAGAACCGAAGCTAGTGCAACTTGCATCACCACGATTTGGCCATTGCCCGAGACAAAAGCAACAATCGCTGCAAACACGGGCCCCATAAGCGCTCTCCCAACCAGCCCCATGCTTGCCATTCCATCAGGACCCACAGACCTTGCCAAAGGAGCCATGCAAAAGGCCCCAAATGCAGCAATCACAAACATGGAGGTTGACATGGATATCCCTAATTGAGACGGCTCAAATTGCAGCTTTTCTGTCAATGTTATGGGTAATGCAGTGCCATGCATCGAAGCAACAATTCCCCCCACCAGCTTGACTGTCAAGAGGGGCCACACGGCTGGCCTCATCGCAATTTCTAGGGAATGTTGTACCGCTGCCAGGAAGGATTTTTTGGGTTCATTTTCTTTGGTTTTCTTCTCCGTGTCATCATCACCTTTGACATTTGTCGAGTTTGGTAAAAATAAAATGGAAAGGACCACCGATATGAGACTTCCCACCACAGCAATCTTGGCACTGAAATAGAGATCGCCCATACTAGCCAAGTGACCTCCAAGCGCAGGACCCACAGTGGCACCGATCGTATAAGCAGTGGTCATTCTACCCAAAGCTCTGGCTCGGGCAGCATTATCATCCCCAGTAACATTGGCGGCGGTGGCCTGCGCCACCAAAAAGGCTGCTTGTAGCATAGTTGGTACTTTGGACAAGAAGAGTAGATTCATATCGGTAGCAGACGCTAACATGGCATAGGACAACGCCGTGGCGCCAAAGACAACTGCAGAAGCATTTCGGATGCCAATTTGGTCCAGTAGGATTCCCACCAGCGGCGACCCGATGGTTTGCACAGCATTGAAGAAAGACTGCAGTCGACCGTACGTCTGTGTGAATTCGGCAGAATCACTTCCCTCTGAAAGAGATTTGACCAAAAAAGGCTCTACTGGCCGCTGAAGCTGGAAGCAAAGACCATACAGTACGATGTTAATGTATGTCACCCATAGCACCATGTCTACGTTGCGCCCCGAAGCCGAAGGGGTATCGGATGCACTTGTTGCCATTCTTGACGTCTTCTTGAGAAAATGAAGACATGCAGATCTTCGTGCTGCCTCTGGATGGTTGCAGCCGAGAAGAGGCGGGAGGAGAGGGTTTGGGTTTCGGAACATCGGTGTGGTTCCTCGAAGCATTCATTCCCGCAAGTTCATGATTAAAGATTGAAGCCGAATGAGAGCAGAACTCAATTTTTTATTAAGCCTTCCCTCACCGGTTATGCTTATGCATACTTGAACTTGTTTGGAGTGTTGCAATGACAATATGTTCAGTTCCCTTGAGGTCCAGCACATACATGCAAATCAAGCACTCCTCCCTTTATACCAAGATACCAGGTGTTTCCTTCCACCCTACAATCAACAATCATGTAAAAAAGAAGAGATCTACAAACTGGATTGGCATCCAAGGAAGGGATGATTAGAATACTAGTATACTTGAGCTTGATTGTACCGTACTGGTTCTGCTTGAAATTCAGCTACCGGTATTGATAGACCTTGCAGTTTTCAAAGGATAAGTCATTAACTTTCCCAGTAGCTTATCAGTGGTCAGTCTCTGATGCCAATACAAGTATCCTATTCACTGGGTGCCATTTGCATTTATGAAACTCTCGTATGCAACCGCTTTGCAATTTGGGCACGGCCGTCAAGTGCTTACCATGCATGGCATAAATTATATCTTAAAGTAAAGGTTAACAATGTGAGCAAACTGAAAGTGAAGTGTGACTTGTAATTTGTGCAAGCAGCAAAGAGTACATGTGGTATTATGATCCTACTTAGGCCTAATTCTCTGTGCTCTTCTTTTCATCATGAAAAGCACTTATTAATACCCTTCTGACAGCTGACAGATCCAGTCGAGATCACCCAGCAAATTCCTCTCGTTATTCATTCCCTACTGTCGTCCTTGTCGCTTGTCCCAGTTGCAGGTTCCAGGTTGCACGCAACTCAGAGACTCAATACGACTGACGAGCTGACGGGTGATCCCGCACACCAAAAAATAGTTTCTCGTCCATTATTTCTGCACGCTGGATGCCTTGTGGGGTTGGTTGCCTGTCCTTGAGCGGACTACTCTACTCACGCAGACTTGATTCGATTCATAGAGATCATCCATTTAGAATTTGCCCATCATTCATCTGCCATTGCCTGCCTCTGAAGCGTCGAGGCTAGTAGTCTGATCTGTCAAAAGGAGAAACAAATTCAGAAGAAGACGACTAGTCGTCACACCGTCCATTTGCTACTACTAGTACTGCCTCCCTCCCTCCCAGAGCTTCCAGCTTCTATTCATCATGCCTCCCTCATTTTTTTGTTCCAGAACGTCGTTGCTGTTATTAGCGGGGTCCCTGTCGCTGTTGAGTGGTGCCAGCAGTCAAGGCGACCGAGTGTTTCGAGCGTCGGGAGAAGCTGTTCGAGAAGGAGCCACGAGTCTTTTACCGTTAGAAGCTGAGCCCACCACACGGCTCGCTACTTCTCAAGCCACCACCACCACTCCTACGACACAAGCAGCAGCTACTACAACAACCATCAATGACGACGACGTCAACAACGAATTCCAGGGCATTCCCGGGACCACACAGACCAACGGTGGCTACGACACGGCCTTGGGAAACAATCCCATTTGCTGGTCGGGCCGAGCCGCCGGCAACAACGTGACGGCCAGTGCCGCACAAGAACTGTCCAAGACGGTCTTTCCCAATCCACTGGTAGAAGATTTCGTATTGTTGGGACAGACGGAAATCCTCAAAATGTGTCCGTCGGGGAATGTGCTTTCCGTACAACGACCGACGGAGAGTTTGCAGGGTGAACGACTGCGGACGCATCGGTACTACAACTACTCGTTGCATGTGGAAATCAACCTGGATACGTTGGGCGGAGACTATATTCACACGGACAATGGAACGGCCACCATTGCGTTTCAAGTGGTCGTATGCAGTCTGGGAAAGAGTGGTTTCTGCAGTCCTTTTGTGCACGAGCAAGGTATGTACAATACGACGACGGTCCCACTTTTACTGCTGTCATGCATGATCAATCAATTTACACTCACCCCGATTCGACTCAATTCGACTTCATTCATTCTGCCTGCCGTAGCCAATGTGCGAGATGCCATTGAGAAAAACCAGAGCGGTGAAGAGCTCGTTACCACCAAAAAGAAAGTAAAAGGAGATTTGCACGGTGGAACGCACATTCATTCTCCTTGGGTCTATCTCGACATGGGCAACAGCCGAACCATGAGCCAAAATCTGTCCATTCCCATGATTGTCAATCACCCCGGCGACTACTTTGTCATTGGAACGGTACAACTCTACACGGGCATTAATGGTTCGGTGGCGTATCGATGGGACATGTCCAACGCACTCGACTCGGGAGAGGGACGATACATTCGCTACCAGAAACCGGTCGTAATCAAAGAGGTGTCCCCCGAAGTGCTCTACAGCAGCTACGTCGCCATTGCCCTTGCGGGTGTTGCCATTTGCTTTTTGATCGCACAAACAATCTACCACCGAGACGAACAAGTGCTACAGTTGTCGCAAGCTGATTTCTTGCTTGTTTTCCTCATCTCTGCGTTATTGGCAACCGTTGGCTCCTTCCTCTTGGAACCCAAAAATGACGTCTACTGCCGCGTTTCCAAATCCATTGTTATGATCCCCATCCAACTCATGTATTCCATCACCGTCGGGCGTCTCTGGCGGTGAGTCAGTTCAGTCCAATTGCGGCACTTTGGTGTTTCCGATACGCAACGATTACTTCATTTCTAACATTCCCTCTTATTCTCTCATGTGGCAGCATCCATGCCGTCATCTCTCCTTTACTCTTGGAACATCTCAACAAGGGAAAACCAGGACTGACGCAACGGTTTGTCGAGGCGCTCACGTTTATCAGTTTCAAACTGAACAATCTATTCATCATGGAGAAAGACAAACAACGCAAAAACAGCAGTGGCGTCAAACAGCAGATTACACAGTTCCAATTGGCATTGGTTGTGGGCATCTTTGCGCTTCCGCAGGTTGTCATCCAGATTGTGGCATTGATCGTCCAACCACAAAAACGCGTCATTGACTTCAACAGCGACGAAAGTGTGGGCCGCGCTACATGCAGCGCTGGTGTCGATACCGCCAACAACCTCGTCATGTACAGCTTCTTTCTCCTAGTAGCGCTGGTCATCATCTTGCTGTTCATGGCACATTCGAGCCGCAAACTGCCGTCGCTCTTCAACGAAACGCATGTCATCTACGATTCTACCTTTCTCAGCATTGTGCTGCTGTGCTTGGGCGGTGCCATCATGGCGCTCACCGACAATCCCAACACCAGTCCCGACGTGGAGTATTTGGTTATGCTCGTGTTGATTCTTTCCATCACTCTCAACTCGGCGCTCCGAATCATGGTACCAAAGCTCAAAAAGGTGTGGAAAGGTGATGTTGTCGTTGTCTCGAAACTGGTCACAGATCATCACAGGAAGACAAGAGAAAAGCAAGCAGGAAGGGCTTCTGTGAGGGCTTCCGGAAGAGGATCAGTGACTGGAATTCATGTATCCGGTATGGATATGTCCAACTCCAGATACGGTATGGAGATGTCCCACTCCAGATACAACAACAACCTCCACGGGAGTTTTGCTAACGGGGACTACGATTTGGGTCAGACCAATCGACTCATCACTACACATTCAAACAGCTGTGACACCGGCCTTATGGGCCGTAGGAGCTCAATGGATGAAAGCACTAATTTCAACAGCAGCAATGGGGAGCAACAACAATTCCATGCCAGCAACAGTGATCCTGAAGGGGCCGACCTTATCAGCGCTATGTTGGAGCCTGACGTGGGCACGCCGGTGATGCTGGAGGACCACCTCGATGTCGTGAAAGAAGAAGACGAAGGAATGGCTGCAGCGTCAAAGGAATGCTTTACTAAGGGCGACAAAAATGCTGAGCCAGCGAGCTCCACAGAGCTGGAAGCCGATGTGGAGTCGGGCGGGTCATCTGAATCGGCAACAGCAGCAAAGCAACCGCAGGACCAAGCTCCAGCGGAACGTGATGACAACGACTTACCGGCCGCGGGTGGCGGCACGATGGACGATGTCGTGGATATAGAGGCAGCGGCCACCTTGGAGAACGGTGCGGGAACGGATGATGAAGGTGACGGTAAGAAGCACTCGTTTTTGGAGCAGCGCACAAGTAGTTTCTTCCGGCATGCCATGGCGCAGGCAAAGGGGCTTTCAGGACTCTCAGGACTCTCATCGTGGACACTGTCGCAAAAGAGTTTGAATCAGAGTGACCACGATAAAAAGAATTCTCCAAAGAGGGGCGCATCTCCAAGGCGAGGCGTTTCTCCAAAGCGAGGTGTTTCTCCAAAGAGAAGCCCACCGCGGAAGGGCATGCCCAAGAGGCGTCTTGCCACACGCATTGTTGTCACCGAGGATGAAACTCCTGCACGCCGTTTGGTGCTGAAGATGCTGGATCTTCAAGATCAGTTGGAAGAGATCAACAACAAAATCATGAGCGGCTTGGCGGTGACACAAGATGACTGGAAGGTTGTTTCGAAACTAACGTCAAAACTGGATCGAACCTTCCAGGACGAAGTCGAGTTCGAATGGGATGTCGAGAAGAAATACGAGGACGGTTTAAAGGAAGTCTTGCCAGCAGATATGAGTGGTCGTAGCTTGGTCGCGGATGAGATTCCCCAAACTAAAACTCGAAGTTCGAGAGCTCCAAGACGCAGCGTTAGCACCCCTTGTGCAAGATCAGCTTCGCCGGTGGCAAGCCGTTCGAGAGCGACTATCCGAAAGTCTCAATCATCAAAAGTCACCACGACCACAATCGAAGACAGTGATCACCGGTCTGTTCGATCGGCACACAGCTCACCGGAACTGGACAGTGTTACTTTTCATGGGGCGAGCGACGATCAAATGTCGCTTCCACCTGAACTGAAGCCAATGATCGACGATAACCACAACCAAGGAAGGGAGGAGACGGCGGTCAGTTTGTTCTCTGACGATGGTACGACGGATGTGGTTTAGATTGCTTGTACATAAAATGTTTCAATAATAGATCTGCTTACTTTGAAAGGAGGCGGATGTCCCCGAGCTTATTATGGGCAAAAGGTACCCTTGTGTTGATGATTGGTTGATCCCAACTGGGGCTCCACAACAGAAAAACAACAATGGTTAGCCAGTGTGGAAGGAGCCCGAGCTGCAGCTGCAGCTGATCAAGTACAACCACGGAACGACCAGAGTTACGAAGGCAACCTGATGGAACGCTGGATAATCCGTGGCCCACCGGCCCCATAACCACACAACAACAGAAACAACGGGGACAATATCGTCCCCAATAAACCCACAATCTACATGTCAAGACGATTCATGCTTACACAATACCTCTTTATACCCCCAAACGGTTACAGGATGGCCCTAGCAAGAGGCCATCACATACCGTTTTCAAATCTAATTATAGAACTTAATCCCTCCGGGGACTTTGTAATTCCTAAGTTAATCTGATGATTGATTGATTCGGTCGGTTCGGCAAGAATTTGAAGGCCAGACTGTTGGTGGTGTCTGTTCCGAAGCTTCGAACGTCTTGGAAGGGAGATCAATGTTCTGCTTGATCCTCTCCATGGGAGTGTTGTGATATGCGTCCTTGACCCCGGGACACATAAGCTCCTGATGGGACAATGGAAGTGATTGCTCGGCATTGCAATGCCAGTCCAAGCGGCGGGAACTCACCCATGCCACAGATTCAGGGCGGACACGAAACTGCAAAAGTACAATCGTGCCAGGTGGGAGGAGCATTTCTATGTGAAACTCAAAAAGTGATGAGGTGAAAATACTGCTCGGGTTCGTTCATACTCTGACGACGGTACGCATGTTGGTCTAGATTGCTTGCAAGCTGAAGGGCAAGTTACCGCAATGATAAGGACTGATTCGATTCGGCAGGGACAAGTAAGCCATAGGCTGACGTCCGAGTGAGAGGCTTGAAAGGCACAGAAGTGGCTTCACTTTTTCCACATGCGACGACGCACGGCAAGGGTGGCAGCCCCAAGCAGAACACTGCAACAAGTCAACACGACGGCGACCGCAACTATAGGGTTGTTCCGACTTTGGGGCGAATCATGCATGGCAATGTTGTCGTCGTCCATCGCTTCGATTATGCTATCGGTCTCATTTTCGCCGCGATCGTCCGAAATGATCAAGGGGACATGCAGATCCGCCGTGATCTTCACGATTTGGTCCAGAGAGGGATCCAGTTCGTGCATGCCACTGACGAACATGGATTCCGTGCCGTCAGCAGTAGCGTTGGGTGCTCCTAGCCGATGGTAACTGCGGCACGACATGGAATCTGAACCCGTAATGCTCCCAGCTTTTGGGTCTGTTCGAATCCACTGTTTGTTCAACAAACCGTCGTTGACTCGATAATAAGCCTGGAATTGATTGAAAAAGGGTTAGCTTAGCGCCATCTTCGCGAGCAGTACTTTAATAGCGGTTCGTCGTTCCTTGCTACGCACTAGTACGCCAAAGCCCTCTCGACTGCCAGCGGCGGCAAGCTGGTGTGCACCGGTAACTGCAGCGAAGAAGCGTCAGTACATGCAAGAGAACCAGATCGCGTCACCCTCCTGGACTTACCTGTGAACATCTCGATTGGACCGTCGTAAATTAATCCTGCGAATAAAAGAGCTTCCAAGGGTTGGTCGATAGATTCTCTCCAACT